TTAGAATCTCGAAAGGACATCAAATTAAACCCACTTCACACACTCTCTCTCTCTCTCAAAATGGGTAGAACTTTGGATCTCCTGGTTAATAACTAATAAAATAATTTTTTGTTTTCAAAAAATTAAAAACAAAAAAACAGTACAAAAATTTCTATTTGATTCAATTTTCAGAAAATTATTTTATGAAAATTCAATTATAAAAATACTTATTTTTATAGAATTATAAAAGATTATTCTCTGAAAATAGTTTTCTGTTCTTTGAATTTTTTAAAACTGTTTTCAAAATTACAAATCAAGTAAGTCCTGCTTTTTCTAAAGTTTCTAACTACCCTTGATCATGAAGACGGATAATAGCAACTTCACCGGGAGCCATTTTAACGATTTTGGGCCTGTTTTGACAATTTGTTTATCTAATGGATGTGACGATTTTTAGCATACTAAAATTGAATCGTAGAATGGGTCAGCGTTGCACACGCTGCCTGTTTAAAATTTTTTTAAAAAATAAATGGCCCAATCTACTGTAGCAATAGCCTAGAATCGGATTTAAGGGTGTGTTTGGCTAAAATAAATGCCCATAAATCACTTTTTTGGCTTTTTTTAGACTTTTTTTTTTTCATCAATACAACTGAACCAAAGAGTCGTTAAGACACTGTTTGACTGACACAAATAGTGCTTTAAAGGCTTTTTTGAGCCAGAAAAAAAAAAAAAACAAAAAAAAAAAAATCAAAAAGGAAGAAAAAAGGAGATATATATATATATATATATATATATATATATATATATATATATATATTACTTCTACATATTATAGCCATTAAGACACTATTTGACTGACACAAACAGTGCCTTAACGACTATATTGGTCCAAAAATTATTTTAATTAATGAATATTGTATTGTTTAAATTCTTTTTATAATACAGCAATTTGAAATTCTTTTTATAATACAGTAATTTGAAATATAGTCATTGGAGGAAAAAACAAGTTTTAAAAAATTTTATTAATTTTTTTAAAAAATATTAATATTTTTAGAAAGCAAAAAGGCACTTTTTAGAATATAAGCAATACTTAAAATTTGACCAGTCCAAAACATTAACGTAACTGACGTGACAAATTTTGATTGTCAAATTTTAAAAAATTGCCATTTGAGTTGCTCAACAGAGGAGCTTGATTAGATTGAAGGATAAAGTTGTTTTTAGTTTAGGGGAGTCAGAAATTCTCCAGGGTGTTTTCTAGTGTTGTATAATTAAAAGGGTAAAGTGTGAATAATATTTACATTGCAAATAATACTTTTATTTTTTATGTAGTTGTCGCCGCTGTTCCATTGTCAGTAATTTAGATTTACCATAGTGATGAAAAAAAAGAAACCAAAAATAAAAAATAAACAGTTTAGTTATTTCACATTTAATTAGTTTATTACCTATTTTTTATTCAATTATGAAGGGCTAATTAGTCTTTTCAGCATTTAAATACTTATTTATTCCAAAATTAAATATTATGAACTTTTTATACACTCTATATGTATACCATATGGTATTTTTCGGTAACAACCCTTATTAAAATTATAAAAAAATATTATATTATGTTTATTTATTTATCTTTCTTTCTTTTTCTTCAAGACATAGATCTTAACATAGATTTCTACAAATAAGCTTATTATAAACAGTATTTTCAAAAAATATTAGGGGGTTTTAATTTATTTTTTTTCTTTCAAATCCATCATTAATTAGTAATTAAAAAAAAGACCTATAAACAAAAAAATTCAAAAAAATTGGGGGGCCACGGCCCCCCAATGCATGGCTCGACCCCTAGCTGAGTTCCAGACAAACTTTGTTAGGTTACATCCACATCCGAGCCCCCCTTGGCTCCGCCCGTGGCTAAATTCAGTCAAAGTTTGTTAGGTTACATCCACATCCGACTCAATTTTTCTGATTGTACATGTTTGTTTATGTACGTGTACAATGTCCTACATGTGAGCAATTGAATTTATGGTCAAAAGTACCACATAGTAATTAATAATCGATCAATGTTTTTTCATCCCAAAAAAAAGAAAAAAGAAAAAATAATATATATGTTACCCTAAAGTTGTCACTATTGGGTATGAAGATCGAGAGACATGGAAAAGCATGCATCGTTATCAATGCATGGTGAATATATACGGTAGCAGCTCAGGTCTTTCATTCTCAAAACTATGTCCCCATTTCAATCATGTATTTTGTTTCCCTTTCTGATTGTCTCTTTTTTACTTCTTATACTCTCTCTCTCTCTCTCTCTCTCTCTCACTCACACACACACATACTCTCTCTCTCTCTCTCTCACAAAATTTGTCAAACTTTGGAGTTTACTCCCGTCCCAAGAACTCAGCAACTTTACAGCATTTTACTTCTGATACTGTCCCTCTCTCCCTATTTCTCTCTCTCTCTCTCACACACACAGACACAAGCGCGCACACACACTCTCTCTCTCTCTCTCTCTCTCAAAATTTGTCACACTTTGGAGTTCACTCATATCCCAAGAACTCAGCAAATTTACAGTACGAAAATTTTCACTGTCTAAAACATAAAAAAGTTCAATGCACGTGCCCTTCTGCATAATTGAACCTTTTAATTTCTCTAAAGTTGTACACATTTTTTCATATTATATAGTGCTTTATTAGAATAATGGTGTATATGTTGCCTTTCATAGTAACATATAACATCAGCCAATTTATCGCCAAGTCTTGCTTTTAATTAGAGACAAGTGCAGCTAGACTTCACACTCCAACCCGGATTTGGAATTCTTTGGTTTCTTGGATTGAGAATTGGATGCAAGGCAAATACACCATTCAACTGCATGCGTCTCTCAGTGGCGGAACTCTAGCCCAGGTTCAAAAAAAAAAAAAAAAAAAAAAAAAAAAAAAAAAAAATTAGAACTACCATTTCCTATCAGCAATAGCCCAACCCAAGCTGCGGAATTCAAAATAAAATATAAATAATAAATGGCTCAGCCCAGCAAACTAAAGCTACATGCCTACAAACAAATTAGTCTATGGAATTGAAAGATTGAAAAAGCCTAACTATTCGAGTGTAACTGTAGGCTGCCGATCATCGTCTGCATTTCGCAACTTGAGTGATAAATCATCTTCTGCAATCTCCACTACTATTAGAACTTAGAGGAGGCTTTATGTCAGCACTAGGGTTTTCTCTCAATTGGAGGCAGTGTCGCCATCAACTTCTCTTGATAAAGCGAAGGCCACTATGCCTGTTTTGTCGATCTTCTCAAGATAAAATTTCTCTTGTTCACTCTTCTCTCTTCCAATTGATGACACTGTTCATATTTTCTACACCAATTTTGATATAGTATGACATCATGAGTTCTGAATTGTTATTTATTTATTTCTTTTTTCTTCTTGTAGGAGTGATGCATAGAATTTTCATTTTATTTTGTAGGTAATTGGGGTTAGTGATACTTAATTATTTTTGATAATTTTTTTATTATTTAGAAATTATTTCTTGGATAAACATTGTATTTCTACAATTCTACAAATTGTAGCATTCTAGGTTTTATCCTGTAGATGTGAAATGAAAGTGTGTTATGGGCACCCACATAAATAAAGTCCAAAATTACAAATCACACATCTTCCCCCCCCCCCCCCCTTCCGGGGGCGGGTGTCTCTCTTCTGTGGTGTACCATTCTTGAGAAGCAGGAAATGGTACACCATAGAAGAGAAACGATCGCATTTTCAAGGGGAATAAATGAGCTACATTGGCAAGGATCAGTTGCAATATTTCTTCAATTCTTCAACTAAGGTTTCTAAAAGATTGTACTGCTTCAAGGCCAATTCTTCAAGATTGGAATCTACCTCCTCCTTGCAGTAGACCTCCTCCACATCCACCGAATTGAGGATCGGAATTGGAATCCTCCATCATCTCCTCCTCTGCTCCTAGTGTTAGGGCTAGTTTCGTATTAGTGTTCAGATTACCGTAATTAACGGCTATAATTTAGTTCGTTAATTTAGGACATTTGTTAAGTTGGACCGTGTTTGGTCCAAGATTGAGTGTTGTTGCCAAATTGGTCTTTGGGCTTCTTTGGTTTTCCCTTGTTTGCTCTATATGGGCTTGTTTTGGCCCATTGCCCACTATGTAGTATTCTTATTATACATACAGTTGTTATATCTTTTGTCGATAAAAAAAAGAAAAAAAAGAAAAAAAAAAAGAAAAAAGTATTACTTTAAATAATTTAGAACTTCGTTGATTAGTTATTTAACTAATTACACACATAATAACTTTTATTATATTTGGTTAGTAGGTGACAAATTTTCTTTATTAGGGAACTATGTATAGTAGTGACTTTTTCTTATTGTTCAACAAAATATTTTTAATTTCTTAGTGCCAAAGGCATCATTACACTATCACTAAGTGCATGTTCCACACACACACACATATATATATATATATATATATTTAGATTTGTAAAACGTTATCTAATTTTATTTACAAATTATTTCCGATTTTTATTTTCACTTGCAACGTTTGAAAACACGTTATAAAAGAGATTTGGATTTCATTTTCAATTCATGATTATGCGTGAAATGAAAAAAAAAGTTGCCAATATTATTTTAAATAGATAACTTTTAAATGGATCAAATCTTATTTTTCAAAAAAAGGAAAAAGAAAAAGAAAAAGAAAAAGGAATTAAATAAAAATGAGTAAAACTTTAATATTAAAATTAATTTTTTAGACAAATACATGCCTATATATCTTTATGTCAAACAAGTGTGAGAAGGATTGCCCGTTTCCCGGGACCACTAGAGAATTATTATTATTTATTATATAAATAATAAATAATAATAATATATGGTATTCACTAGAGAATTAATATTGCTTATTATAAAAAAATAATAATAATATATAATATTTTTTGGGTATAAAGAGAAAAAACGAAGAGATAATAATCAATGGTATTTTTTGACCCAAAAAAATTTTTTTAGAAAAAAAAAAGGGAAAAAAAAAACACAGAGAGAGAGCTCGGATGCGCAGTTTTCTTCCGGAATCGGAAGTTCGTGAGGAACCCAATCTTCACAAGGAGCGCAAATATCTCTTCATGGCTCTCAAATGCACCAGCCGGGAATCGAACCCGGGTCTGTACCGTGGCAGGGTACTATTCTACCACTAGACCACTGGTGCTTGTTGGTACTTAATCTTATTATATATATATATATATATATATATATATATATATATATATATATATATATATATATATATATATATATATATATATATATATATATAGTAATATACTATTTTGGACCCTTCAGGTTCTTAATCTACTTGACAATTGTGGTTGGCTTGAGTTATATAAGGCTGCAACACGGACTGGGCCAGCCCGAATTTACCCGAGTCCAGCCCGAAATTTTTAGAGCTTGGGCAGTGTTTTTCTGTTCTAGGTCTGGGCTTAGGCTAGATATTCTGAACCCGAATTAAATTTAGGCTGGGCTTGGGTTGATATTATATAAAGCCCGAAGCCCAGCCCGAGCCCGAAAAGGGTATATTTATTTTAAAACTATATTATTTTACAAGTGTATAATAGCTTAGTTGGTAGTGTGTTTGGGATTTTTCTTGGAGGAGTGCTGTTCGAGTCCTTCTAGCTACACAAATTTCTTATTTTTTACATTTTGAGTGGGCTCATGGGCGGGCTTGGGCAGGAGAAGTTAATTATAGGCTGGGATTGGGTTCTATGAGGGCTCGGGTGGCTGGGATTGGGCTCTATGAGGGCTCGGGCTGAGCTTGGGCAAAATATTTTGTACATGGGCTGAGCCCGAAATAAGTCCCTAGCCCGCCCAAATTGCAGCCCTAGAGTTATATGAATATAATAATCACCATATTGACTGCAACTTTTTTTATCAAGGCGCTCTCTTTAGTATTTATTTTATTTTATTTTTGACAAAAAAGAAGGGTAGGAAAAGGAAAATCTTCACATGCATATCATTCTTAAATCTCTTAATTTGAGTTTTTAGGGTTCAGTTAGGCCCCCAAAGGACCCTCTAATCAAAGTTATCTTGTAATGTATGCTAGACAGTTATACAAGAATCAAGACTTCTGTTATCTGATTCATAATGCAAACTGAATCCATGCTGATTAGTGTACACAGCAATGAACACTCTGCGTGCCTATATTTGTGTGCGTGTATTGTGTGTTGTTGGCTGAGACTTGGCGGCCCCAAGTGCCATTTCAGAGAAAAAAAAAAAAATACAGTGTATTTCGTCCCTGTAACAATTAATCTTATGCTTGCAGAGGTAGTTAGGTTTATCTCAAATTCTTAACCCAAAGTAGAAGAAAACAAACCCTCCATCCCCAAACAGATTTCATTATTTTATAATCAACAATTGTTCACAACTTTCATTACATGACACAATTCTTTAGTCCACAACTGCAGCATCCTAGTTCTTTCCTAAAATTCTAAGCCTTTTGCAGCCAACAGAAGATAAAAACTATATTTATATGGCGGCCTTCATGCTCAGCCAGAAAAACAGTATATATACACAAGATTCATGTATACATGCGTGAGATACGCATGCATTAATACGCATTGAAGCATACGCATATTTCCACTATCCACCATCAAGCATTCAGAATTTATCTATCTACATCAACAAGCATATGCCAAGACAATCAGATGAAGAACATAACCTAGAATGAAATGCTCATTCACTGAAAGGGGAAAACTGTGCCAGAAGAATGTACAGACTCTGTAACTTTTGTACATAATACCAACACCAACCAAAAACTTCGAGAAAGGAAAAAAGAAAACTTGCTAAAGCTTCGACTGTTCTATTAGCATCTACAAGCTCTCTGTCAATTGACAACCCTTCTGATGGCATTCAGAGGGATAGAGGGGGGAAATCATCTTCATTCTTAAGGTGATATGATTGTTCTGCAACCCTGAAAACCCAAATCATACACCGTGCTTTAGACAACGTCCAGTATATAAGAAAGCAAAACTTCATCCACTTCCAAAAACTTCTTCATTACCTGAAAGTATTTATGTGGTTAGAAAATTCCCTTACCTTCCTTGATTATTACCCAACACTGGTTTTGAACTCTGCACTCCTAGTGCTGCAAGGCTTGGACTGGGGTCCAAAGCACAGGAAGTGCTTAAAGCCAGCTGACTGCTTCCTTCTGCCAGATGCCCACGCGACCCAACTTCAAGTTTCTGAGATGGGATGGAGACACCATTAGCATGGGAATTATAATACATGGGATGACGAGATTGGTGAGATAATCCAAAATTTCCACAGCCTAGAACTGGGGACACTGCGTTTGAACTCCCACGGATGCCTTCTTCGGCCGAGTTTGTCTCGGGCAAAGTGGGAGCAAAGCCATTGCTACGAGTGTGTCTCTGAAACTGCCTCTGATTCTCTGGGGTCTGATTCTTTCTCCTCCCTTGAGAGGGCCTCTCTCTGCATGTCAAACCTTTCTGCAAAATTTCAAGTGTAAGATCAATGTTAAAATTACAAAGCACGCCAAAATATAAAATTTGCATGCACCCAAGTGGTTATAGATACCAAACCTATGCCCAAAAGTTCAGAGAAAGATACCGTATTGGGAAAGAATGTCCCAGTTCCTCGTGGTTTATTATTTTCGTCAGAACCAAAAGCAGCAACGGATCGCATGGAATTGTTCGCAGGGTAAAGTGGCTGCCCCAAGACCTTCCCATTTTTGTTCATTTGGGGAAATGAATTCTGCTTGAGTGACGTGGATTGATGGGCGGTATCCCATGGCTTCTTGCTCCGGAACTCAGAAGGCGAAGTGGGAGGATTGTGCAGTACAGTTGCTGATAAAGCATAGCCATTGCAGCACTGAGCATACAGCAGGCTCCTTATGTGACTATCATAATCTCCAGTGAGGTCTAACAATGGATTCAAAGTTTCTAGGCCTCCGTCAATGTCAGCCGAGCCCCTATCATAGACTGTACTGCCAGCCACCAAATCACTTTCTCTGTGTCCTAGCGATGAATCAGATCCCATCTCTTCATCAACCGAGTTTGATATATTTTCTTGGAAAAAGTTCCAATTTTCAAACTTCCCATTTCCTATAGATGATCCAGAGAAACCGCAAGGAGGTGCATAGTAATATTGCCCACAAAAAGAACTACTAAAGTTGCTACTTCGTAGTGAACAATCAGATATGTCAGTTGCAGTTCTCACACTAGCATCCCCAGCTAGACAATCTCCTAAAACAGCAATCCCATCTGTGAAACATCCCGTCTCCGACACCACCTGTGAAGAAATAACTTTTGTAGAGTATCTGTCTAGCTCATTTCTGAATATAGAAGTGTGTTCATCGTCCACTCCTGATATATCATTATCAAAATCAACATTTGATGATTTTAAACAAATCTTATCCTCAAAGGAGGTTTCAGAATCAGATGAAGTGGACAATGTGCCGGATGTTAAGACAAGATTTTGTACATCAGCCGCATATTTGGTTCCATGCCTCGCCAGAGTGTTTGCAAAGAACTTCTTAATCTCATCTGCGATACTTTCTCTTGGTAACAGAAGGATTTGACCAAGCTTGCGAGCCCCAAATTTAAAAGCACTACGTATCCGATAAAAATTACCTAGAACGAACCAATATGTGCTACATTAACATGATATAAAGGACCAAACACATCCCAGAAAGATCAAAGACCCGCATGTTATACTTTTCTGGATGCCCTTCAGAAGAGAAATAGAAGCAACTCATTTCTATTATTCTTATATTTCCCTACAAAATAGCATAAGAAAAACCATGTCCAACTATTTTGCCAAAAGACTGCAAGAAGCAGAGGTGGTGGTACTTGTGATGATGCTTATGACGATAACCATGCTTGTGTAGTAGTGGTACTGTGGTAGAAAATGTGGTGCCATCAGTGGTGGAGGTGGTATGTGGTTTTCATTGCTGAGAGTACGATTTGAATCTATTTAGTATTTAGCGAATTGCTTCTCACTATTGTGATAGCATGGACATGAAGAAAATGACAGCTATATTTTCACCTTCATGTCTTTTTAATAAAAGGAAATGCATCCTTCCTTAAAATTTCTGCTTTCACAAAAAAACAATATTTAGTTATCATACTAAAAATAAAATAATAATAATAAATAAATAAAAATACTTCAAAAGAGCATTAGCAATGCAATTCTTTACTTTGTCTTTTTTTTTTTTTTTTTTTTTTTTCATTTTTTTTCTTTTTGTTTTTCATAAAATGATAAAGTACTCTTGAAGTGACTGATTCTCAAAGAAAGTCTCAAGGAGCCAAGAAGTTTCTAGAAAACCAATTACCCAGTTGAATCTAAGTTCTTTTACTAGTTGGGTTGTAGTAAAACAAAACAACTCCACTCAACTAGGTCTTCAACAATTATTACCTTAACTGAGTCAAAGTTGACAACAAAAACCAAAAAATTAAGGTTTACATTTTTTTTTACTTTCTTCAGTTCCCTTTTAAACCAAAAGGATAGAAAGGAAAATTCTTCTAACACGTTACCTTAACTGAGTCAAACTTGACAACAAAAACTAAAAAATTAACGTTTACATATTTTTTTTCACTTTCTTCAGTTCCCTTTTAAACCAAAAGGATAGAAAGGGAAATTCTTCTAAAACATTAACCGTCCATAAAAAGCTTCCACGAAAAGATTTATGATCACTAAAAAAAGCCTATCGAAATTATTCAACAGCACTGGGCTCATATTGTTATAAAACACCCAGAAGTTCATTTAACAAATAAAGTAAAATACAGAAAATGCTCTCGTACCTCTGTGGACACTTCGACCAAGGTTGTTATTTTCTCTCAATGGATCAATTATGTTAAGATGCTTTTGAGGAAATGCTCGCAAGTTCATCTCAAGCCCTCTTGACGGAACTGAGAACATGTCCACACAGTTCCGAATAAATTCTTCACTAAGCATTAAATCATCGTCCCTATATTCTGGCATATCAACTGCATAGATATATGTATGTGTGTGTGTATATATAGAGACAGAGAGATCATGAGCAAAGAAAAATAACAAGTACCCAAATTCAAAGGCACAAAGGGATATAGCTTACCAACTATATGAGGAAGTAAAGATTTGCAAACTGGACCATTCAAACTGACACAATAATTCTCCCAGTCAAATTTGCTAAAATAGTCCAAAAATCGGTAGAGAACCTATAAACAGGAAACAGATAAAATAAGTCAAACTCATTAATGCCTGTGTATTTACCAACGTGGCAATGCAATGTTGACTTGCAGAGTTGTGAGAAGTTACCGCTAGAGGCCCATTTAGGGATGTATGAAACAGATGAAAGATATATAGGATCAATGTTTCCAACGCATATGTAGAGATTAAACCATGAGGAGCACCAAGTATTCGGCTTTCGTAATAGCACCATGCTTTTATAAGAATAATGCTACGTTTAAAAAGATGATTTTTTCTAGCAAGGCCATCAACCTGCATTGGGAAAGGGAAAAAAACAGCAAGAGAAATATCAACATCCAAAAAGCACAATATGGTCTACATTGCTCAGCGTGCCATGGCCCTTCAAAAATCGTCTAGAATCAAATTGATGGCTAGATTCTGATGCATTAAATGGTGCTCCAATTAGGAAAATGAACCACAAATTAATACATGTTTGTATTGAGATCTCATTATAGGTATAAAAAAGGGAGAGGAATAAAAAAAAGAACTTTCAAACTTATACAGAAGGTAAAAGAAAGACGAGTAAAACTGGAAGCAAATACATGTGTTTATGCCCAATGGAAAATGGTAAAGACATGTAATTGTATACACATTGAACTACAGATGTACATTCTTATTAATCGTGGAAAAACAAGTTGGGTCCAGGACACATACAACAACATGGAAACTGGAAAGATTTGCAAACAGTGCAATCTATTGTATATAAGCATGATGAGACAGGGTGAGAGAAAAAATAATAAGAAGAAAAAATAAAGTTCAGGGAATACTAGAGCATCCATCAACTGACCTTATATCTTTTACAGTTCTGGAAGGCACCAGTGACCATAGGAATTATTAGCAAAAAAAACAGAGGTCAAGAAATGCCAATCAAAATCAACTTGTATAAAATGTGTCGAAAGGTCATAATCAACACATTTATGAGGTTAAAGTAAAATGAATAAGATGAATTTATACTTTGGAACAACAGGCATGGAAACACAGTAAGAAAGAAAGACCTTGCCCGTTTCAAATCTTAACAAGAAGCCTTGGACCATAATGAACCATACCTGTTCAAGAAAACATAGTGTTTGAAGTCCTCCTGACTGATTGAAAGAGATATCTATTACAATGTTCTGCACAAGGCATTTCACAAGCTTAACCTGCCATGAGAAATACCAATACTTCTAAATATAGAACTTCATAAAGCTGGGAAAAAATGGTACAGATTGATCGTTAAATACAATTAAATAAAGGCTATGATGCAATCCATGCAAACAGAAGCTTCAGCAATATGATATTCAGAAATAAGGGAATAAAGTTTGTGAGTATGTCACTAGCATAATCGTGGGAAAGAGCCAATCCCCAAAAAAAAATCATGATGGAAGTGTATAGGTTATAGTATTCTCAAGATAAGAATTAAGTCAATTGCTTAGGATAAACAAACATATCAAATGTCTGACACAATAAAGAGAATTTCGAAATTCTAAAAAGGAAAGCTGCTAACTGGAGCAGGTATTCTCACACAGTCCATGATTGTCGCGTGTCAACCATTGGATGCAGTGGGTCCCACATGGGGTTCCCCATAGGACCCACCGCATCGAATGGCCTAGGGGTGAGAGTTGCGGTAGCGCAACTGTCACTAGCTAACTCCATGATCTTTTCTACAAAGTCTCATTCAAGGTGAAGATGTAGCATATCAGCATCTTACTCATGTCAGTGTCGTATAAAGGAAAGATTTGTGGTCCAATAGATCATTTCAAAGAGTTGACAACTAGAAATACATAAACTAACTAATAATAATAATAATGAACACATATAACATTGATATAGATAAGTGCAAACTCAATGTAACTCTTTTCGTAGAATGACAAAAAATATATTCAACTGACTAGGGTAAACTATCACAATAAAGCATCAAAGTGGAGAAAACCTCAGCATCAATGAATTGGGTATCCTTCACTTCATATTCAGCATTTTCGTTCTGCTCTTCTCCCTGCAGAACAGCAAGTACATCACGGGCCAAAGCTTCCTCAACATCAGGACTGCTAATGGCAGTCAAATCGATATCTCCATCAGGAAGATAGGTCCTCAGTGGCACTGAACCGTATGGATAAACCTACATAATGTACTAAATAAATCAGCAAATCTTCACTAATAAGAACTCCAATAAAATGGAAAAATAATTTTTCCCATGTGGCTTGCTCCAATAATGATGTATTACATCAAAACTGCTTTAAAAATTACTATATATTTGGATAAGTAATTCTTGATTTGATTAGGTAAAAGGATTCCTCAGCATTTTTTTTTCTTGGCGGGCAATCCCACAAGCCTTGGTTGGTAAGAAGATATCAGTTCATTAACAAAGGGTCCTCCAAATAGTTTCTGATTTTAGAAGAATGGTTCTTCTATGTGCTAGAAACTGTAAAATTTTTTGGTTACTAGCAACTAAAAATAATAATTTGACAACATAAATAAGAGCATTAGATATAGACCTTCAACTACTGCAAAATTGATTAACCTATAAACACTGTTAAATTGATTAAGTTTAGAAAATGAGCAGAGGAGTTAAGTTTAGAAAATTGATCCAAGGAAAAGGTGCAATAAAGCCGGTCTTTAATGCTTCAACCTCGAAATTGGAAGCTAAACATCCTTGAAGGTACAACTATTACTCTATTCCTGCACAAAGTGCATAAGACATATTGGCACAGCCTTCTTGCCTCCTTTAATCTAGATGCCACCCAAAAGTCATACCAGTTAGTTACCAATTCACAAACAAAGAATCCTATGCATTGCCTATTTCAGTCCAAAAATATTAGGGATGGTTTGTGGTCTTTTCTACTGCATTGCGCTTAGAGCACCAGGTTAGGGGGCTTTTTTCTCTGGAACAGCAATAAACAAAGAAAGAAACCTTGGAACGCAACTTCACCCACCAAAAATCTGTTCAAGAGAAAGCGTCAGCCCACCACGCCCGACAAATAATAATAATAATTATTATTATTATAAAATAAATAACGGAAAACACATTATAACGCAAATTAGTTCCAAATTTCCCACTCATGCCACCTTTCACCACAAAGCATCTTATCTACCTTTCCCAACCTCCGTCAATCAACCTCTTCAAGTTTCAAATCCTGCACAGCCCTAAAGAAGTGCAGCTTCCAAACCATTCCAGCCTCAAACAACCTGAAATAATCAACTATGGCTCACTTTTTCAAGACAATATTATTAAGCATCAGAAATCTGTCCTTCAAAGTCACCTCTCTCCACCAATTACCATGCCAAAAGCATACTCACCGACTACACACACACACAACGTGTAAAAAAAACTCCAACACCCCACCCCCCACCCCCAGTTCTATAATCTTTGCACAAACAATCTGATAAGGACCCCTAAACACCCTAAACACCAAGGAATTGTTCATAGATTCATCTGTATCATCTTTCAAATCAATTAGGAAAGGACAACGGAATGTGAGAGAAGAAAAAGAGCCAACTTGTAGACACCAACTCCAGTTTAGCATTTTATCCAAACAAATAATTATAAAACTTGGATAGTTGTACACTTTTAGTGAAACATTATGACCTTAAAAGATAAAAGAAAAAACTATAATAAAAAAAAGTACTAAAAATTGAAATACCTATACCCGCTTACAGTTGGTGAAAAATGCCCTTGCAAATTGAAATCAGAATTCAACCACCCAGAGCTCATTGAGTTCAAGAAATGATATCAACGGACACCTAAAGAACTCTAAACCCCTGTTAGTTTTTAATTTCCATGTCACATTTCCTAACAGGAGCAATAATTGGCACAGAACAAAGAAAGATTGGTGAAAAGAATTTACAATCCCCAACTAAATATGATTTGAAGAACTAAAATCACAAAAATAATTCAACAATAGAGAATATAGAGACTGCAAAAAACATTGAATCAAAACCTACAAAACACAATTAACAGAACACAACCCCATTATAGCTACTGAACCACACTAAATTGCACAAAATTTAAAATTGAACCGCTAGAGAGAAATGAATTCACCTTCCACCCAAGACGACCTCTGATCAGTCTCGTTACGTAGTCAATGATCTCCTGCCTCATCTGCTCCGAGGCCTCAGTGGGTTGAATTCCACATAGCACTTCCTGGGTTGCCTTTTCAGCTATCGCCCAACTCTCCTCCCCAATTGATGATGGATCAGGGTTAGACAACGGAAATGGCTGCAAAAACGATGATTGGAATAGGGCTTCTTCCGCTTCGACGGCGTTGGGTTGCCGACAACAAATTCGAAGACCACCCATATGATCAAGCGATATATATATATATATATATATATATATATATAGGTAGATTATACAAGACCCAAGAAGAGACCTTGAAATACCCAATACACCGGAAAAGATTTTGGAGCAAAGAAGGTAGGGAATTGAAGAAAGGTTTCGGAATTCAGAGAGAAGGTGTATGGGAAAGCTTGGGTGAATGGTTTGATTGGGAAAGGTGTGGAGAGTTTATATAGCCGGACCTGTATGTGTATGTATCTGTATGTGAAAGGGCAAAGGAAACGTAAAATATGGGGATTGCGACAAAAACCAGGTGATAGGAGGTTAGGGAAGGACCCAAAAATGGTGTGTCGCTTTCTTGACCCTTCGGAACGAAGAAAAGACCCACATCTCCCCCAAGCCTTCTCTCTCTATAATATATATATTGATTGTTTCTCTCTCTATAATTCCCTCTCTGGCGTCTGTCGCGACGCTGGAAGAGAGGGAAGCGAAGCGAACTGCAATTGGAAAATACTAAAAACGAAAGGGGTGGGGTTATTTTCACAGGCGAAAAGTTCGTACGTGATCAACAAGTTCTTATCCCAAAAATAAAAGTGAAAGTAGAATATATATATATATATATATATATATATATATATATATATATTAGGTATTTCTAAACGTGGTCGTTTTGTTTTCTGTTATAGCAGCTTAGGGCCTACAACTATAACCAAATTTACTACATAATAAGGGCACATGACATGTCAAGACCTAAGTAACCTAATTTTTTTAAATGGTGTGACTCTTATGTCCCATGTCTCTTATTTCTTTCATTTTTTGTGACTTAAATTTTATTATTATTTTCGTATTTTTATTCATGTATCGCTCTCGTTTTGTGTTACTTAACTCAAGGTTATTTTTCTTTTTAACTTTCAATGAAGTGTTTCAATGTTTAAATTCGAGTACCATAATCAAATTGAATTGAAACTCAAGATAGTTTCCGTTTAAGTGTTACGAGTGCATGGTAATATAATCAAATTTGAGCTTGAGATAAGATTGATAAAAAGATAATTTGATTTTCAGAAAAAAAAATAATAATAATAAGAAATAATAAAAAAACTGTACCAAATGACTTATGTTCCTTATCCTTGATAATTATTTTCCCACAATTGGATTTTTCTTCTCTTTTATTTTAGCACATACCAGAATGGTTACATACTTGACTTGTTTATTTATGTTTTTCAAATGATGGAAGGAAAAGGATGTTTTTAATTATATGAAATTGAAGCTGGTGACATTGTGATTGAGTTTTTAAATTGGTCTATATTGTTTGATTTTGTAAAATAAGTGTGAAACTGAAATTCAATTTAAAACCCACATTATCCCAATTCTATAAATTTAATGTAGAGAGTGAGATACTTTGAACCCAGTCCTAATGGTTTAGTTGTAATTATGGGGTTGCATGTGTCCAGTTATATAGTGATAGAGAAAGATGGAGGAATAGGTTGCAATCTGACAAAGTTTGCTTGGATTTTGGAGCATTGTAAAGCTAAAGACAATATTGCTTTGGTTTGACACTTTTGAACCACCGACCACCAATCTTCAGCCGTCTTTGAGAGAGTATATTTGGTGCCCCTTCCACCGAGTAAATCAGAGTCATTTAAGGTTTATTACAGAGAAGTTCTCTCCTTTCCTCTCTCGACCCTTCCCCTTTCCTGACGGCAGCTCTCCCTCATTAAGCTTCAACGATCTAGGGTTTTCATGTTTTCGGAGGGCGAGGGAGGTATTGTGAGAGTTGTTGAACGCGTTTCAACATGCTCCTCGCTGTGTCGGGGTGTGTCTAAGCCGGTGTGGTTTTTCTGCGCTGGATTCCATTCCTCTTTCGTCTATAGGTCTGGTAGGTTGTATGAACTGCGACGTCCCTGTGCGTGGAGGATTGTTCATTTGGGGTCGTTGCATCTTGGTGGAGTTGATACCCATTTTGTGCCGCTCTTTCCTTATGATCCGGGTATTGATCTAATTTCCTTTGTTTCTTGTTTATCTCTCATGTTTTCTCTGTGTTTTTTAGTTTTTAGATGTCGGTGCTTGGATTCGGTGATCCTTTGCGTGGTGGTTGTCTCCATGCCTTTTGGGGTTATGGCTACGATTTCTTGTTCTATTCTTGTGGGTATCCAAGACAGCTTTCTCGGGTCGCCGGCAATGGATCTTTCTGCCTGGAGTTTATTGTTATGGAGCACTTTGCGATGGGCGGTTGATTTGTGGGGTTTGTCTCTGCTGAATATGTGTTTCTTGCCGGCGTTTGCCGTCGCTGATGATACTGTGTGGTGCTTGGAGGTTTTTTGGTAGGTCGGTCCCGGAGGTCGGTTTTTGGTTTTTCGATTGGGAAACTATGACATTGTGGCTGACGTATAGGAAAAGTAGTCTAGTAGTTTCTTTTAGCTTCTGGTGGGCCAGGCTTTTGAGTACGTGTATGGCGGTGCATCTTTCTTTTGTGGTGTTGATCTTTCCATTGTAACTGACATCTTTTTCTGGATTGTCAAGACTCTGATCTTAACTATAAGGAGTGTTAGTTAGGTTTGGTTGGTTATGTGACGATTGTGCACTTGGTTCTTTGTCTCTGGCCGATGTTCTTGCATGTGTTTTATGGTACATTGTGGTTCTTGTATGGATGTTGTTGTGTTATCTTTTTGTATAAATGCCGTATGGCGCTTATTTTGCCAGGCCAAAAAATAAAAAAATTCAGAGTCGTTTATTTTTGCATGTTGTGCATATATTTGTGCATGTTATGCATAGAGGATTCTAATGTGTTCATTAAAGTCATTCATTTTCATGCGTGTTGTGTGCATGTCTGCACGTGTTGTGTGCGAACAACTCTAACGTACCCGTAAAAAATCTTGAATGGATTTCGCTTTTTAGGCTGGGGAAAAAATCCATCGCATTTTGTGATATGCACATTATTTTGAGCCAGCCAAAAATGGGATACGTGCGTCCTACCACCAAGAAGGAACGAAATATGGGCTACTAGGGGTATTCTAGATTGGTCATTCTTGAACTGGGGGGTACGGGCACGTCTTTGAAACTATCTTGCGTCATCACATTTCACTAATCTTATGCTCCACTTAACCGCTTCCAAACATTCACTTCCCCACGGTTTAATTTAGGGATGGCAAACAAAATTGTTCAAACCCTCTATTTGATCCAGATTAATCCAAATTATGTAATATGATTTAATTTTATAATTTAACATTTTGATTTCGGTTTTGTTGTACAGTATTGTATGAGTTATCACACGTATATAGTTGAGTTGTCACTTACCCCTTATGACCAGATATAGAATTACCATGTATAGGGTTTACTTATTCTCCACTCACCTACTCCCGTAACTTCTCATATATAAACACCATTGTATTATTGTATTACTGACTCAATAACATATACGTTTTCATATATTCTCTTTCTCTCTCTCTCCCTCTCAATATAGTATCAGAGCGAAAATCGATCCCTTTTTAGATATTTTTTTATTCTTATTCAGACTCCAATCTTGATTTCATCTCGGCTTTCTCTCAATCTCTTCTCAACGATCTCTCCTCGGTGATCTCAATTCTCATCTCATCAATCTCTCTCGGATCCCTCCTCAGCTCACTCCTTGATAATTTCTATCGGGTTCATCATGGCTAGATCTTGGTTATCTTATCTCGGATCCCTCTCGCTACTATATCTCATTTGTTTGGTAGCGCTTGTGATGGATACTAAAGAATCCCATCTTCTTGGGTTAATCACTAGCAGCAAACTAGTAAAGCGTGAGTGTGCAAATCAGCCCTCCTTCATCGCTATTATCGTTACTTCAGGTAATACGTGTCTCCATGCTTCATTTTCTACACCTTGGATCATTGATTCAGGGGTATCCGATCACATGACAGGTGACCCATCTCTTCTTTCTGATATTTCTCATATTTTCTTACCATCGGTTGTTACGATAACGAATAGTGTCAAATCACCTGTTCATGGAATTAGTACCTACCACACTTTGGGTCTCACTTTTTCATCAGTTTTATATATCCCTCAATTCTCATTCAATTTATTGTCAGTTCGTAAATCATATCAGATTTAAATTACTCCGTTACTTTTTCTCCTTCTCGTTGTGTCTTTCAAGATCTCAAGACGAAGAAGATAGTTGGTGGGGGTTTGAAAAGGATGGTCTTTACTACTTCCAATTAACTACTGCTCCGACAGCTCTACATTCCACCTCCTATTCAGCTTACCAGTGGCATTGCCGCTTTGGACATCCCTCTTTAAATAGTCTTTGAGCCTTGGTCCCTTCTTTAGTTCAATTTTCTAGGTTTAATTATACTACTTGTGAACTTAGTAAACATCGTCGAGCTAATTTTAAGTCTCGTTTTGATAATAAAAGTTTAAAACCTTTTGAGTTAGTACATTCGGATGTTTGGGGACCAGCTCGTATTACTGGTTTATTTGGTACTCATTATTTTGTATCATTTATTGATGATTATTCACGTTTTAACTTGGGTTTATATTCTTAAAGATAGATCTCAAGTATTCTCTGTTTTTCAATCCTTTAATACTGAAATTCAAAATCAGTTTGATGCAAAAACTGACAATGCTCTTGAATATAAACTTAATGTTTTTCAAAAGTTTCTTGAGTTGAGGGGCATTATCCATCAAACATCTTGTGTTGATACCCCTCAGCAAAATAGAATTGCTGAACGGAAGAATGGCCCACTCCTAGCTATCACTCGTGCCTTAATAATTCAAATGCATGTTCCAAAACATTTTTGGGCAGATGCAGTTCTGGTTGCTACTTATCTTTTAAACCAAATGCCTTCTAGGGTCCTTCAAGGAAATCAGCCTTCCAAATGATGTTTTTTGACAAAAACCCTTTTTTCCATTCCTCCAAAGGTGTTTGGATGTATCTGTTTTGTTTATAAGCTAAGCCCGGGACGAGATAAACTTGATCCTCGTGCTCGCAAATGTATTTTCTTAGGTTATTCTCGCACTCAAAAGGGATATAAATGTTACAGTCCAACTCTTTGTAAACAATTTGTGTGTGCAGATGTAACTTTCTTTGAGCATATTCCTTATTATTCTCAGGAAGGCAATCGTCTAGAGGACTCTGTTCTTCAAGAGTTTGTTCTTCCAACTTCATTTTTTTATTCTGACATCCCACTAGCTCTTCGTGCTTATGTTCATCACCGAAAAAGAATAGTTAATCATATTCCAACGAATGAAGTTGTAAACCCAACCTTGCCATTTCTACTAGTCGCTTTAACGCCTAAAGAGTCTTCCGTCTCTTCGGACTCTGATTTTGATCAACCTATTGTTGTCCGAAAAGGTAAATGGTCTTGTACCAATCACCTTATCTCCAATTTTGTATCGTACAATATATTGTCCTCCACCTTTCAAGCTTTTTCTTTGTCATTATCCTCTATTGCTCCTCCCAAGTCCTACAGAGAGGCACTTTCTCATCCACGGTGGAGGAAAGTTATGGAAGAATAAATAAACGCTTTAAAATTGAATCATACTTGGGACCTTGTTCACAAGCCTGTTGATACTCAGGTTGTTGCTTGTCGTTGGGTTTTTACTATTAAACAGAAGCTAGATGGTACTGTCGACCGTCTTAAATCTTGACTCGTTGCTAAAGACTACAATCAGACTTATGGCGTTGATAATACTGAGACGTTCTCTTTTGTGGCCAAACTGAATTATATTTGTGTGATAATCTTTCTTGAAGCTAATCTAAACTGGTGTGACAAAGGTCATTTGTCCCACATCGAATCCGGATGGGAAAGTGATTGGGTATAAATGGGTGGGTATACAGTATTACCCAACAACTTTTGGGTAAATGGGAAAGCGTTCACTTGTTACAGTTGGTATCAGAACCAGACCCAGTCCTTGATTAGGTGTCATGCCAAGCGTCTAGCCCGAGCCGCAATGAGGGCGTTGCAAGTTTGAGTGGGGAAGAATGTAACAAGGGTCATTTGTCCCATATTGGATCTTGATAGGAAAGTGATTGGGTATAAATGGATGGATATGCAGTATTACCCAACAGCTTGAGCTTTTTGATAAATGGGTAAATACCCACCCGTTACAGCTGGCTACTTTATCAACTTGATGTTAAAAATGCCTTTCTGCACGGTGACCTTACTAAGACAGTCGATATGACTCAACCACCTAGGTTTGAGTACAAGGGGGAGGGTGTATGTCACCTCAAGAAGTCTATATATGGCCTCAAACAGTCTCCTCGTGTATAGTTTGATAAGTTCAGCAAAGCAGTGGTAGCTCGTGGTATGACCAGAAGCCAAACTGACCACTCTCTCTTTTTTAAGAAAATGAAATGTGGTATTGTGATTTTTGTGGTGTATGTAGATGATATCGTTATCATCGGTAGTGACAAAGATGGGATACAAGTTCTAATCCATCACTTGAGTTCTAGTTTCCTTACTTAGGATTTGGGCAAACTTCAGTATTTTCTAGGGATTGAGGTGGCTCAGTCGAAGCAAGGCATTAGTCTTTCTCAGGGAAGTATACTCTTGATCTCTTACAAGATACTGGATATCTCGGTTCGAAACCTGTAGCTACACCCATGGAGACTAATGTAAAACTTAAGGTGGATGATGGTGACCCACTCAATGATCCAGAGATGTATCAGAGACTTGTAAGTAAATTTATTTACCTCACAATTACTCGTCCAGACATCTCCTATGCACTCAGTGTTGTGAGTCAGTTCATGACCAGTCCTCGAGTACCTCACATGGAGGCAGTTGTACGCATCTTAAAGTATCTTAAGGGTGCTCCGAGACGTGGTCTACTTTATCGATCTTCTGGAGATCTTCGAATTGAGGGATACACATATGCAGATTGGGCCGGTTCTCCTTCTGATCAATGGTCCACCACGGGTTACTACACCTTCATAGGAGGAAATCTAGTAACTTGGACGAGTAAGAAACAAACAGTTGTGGCTCATTTCAATGCTAAAGCAGAGCATCATGCCATGGCACACACTACCTGTGAACTTACTTGGTTAAAAACTCTTTTACAAGAACTTGGGATTTCAGTCTAGTACCCAATTCCTCTCTATTGTAATAATCAAGCAACTATTCATATTGTTAGCAAGCTAGTCTACGTACCATGAGATGACTAAACACATTAAAGTAGATTTCCATTTCATTCGATCTAAAGTTGACTCAAATGAGCTAGATTGTTACACCTTTTATTCATTCTGATAGACAGTTGACAGACATCTTCACTAAGGCGCTTCCCAAGAGCTCTATTGATTCTATATGTAGCAAGTTGGGAGTTATTAACATTTACTCTCCAACTTGAGGGGGAGTGTCATACAGTATTGTTTGAGTTGTCACACGTGTATAGTTAGTATGGTATGAGTTGTCACCGACCCTTTATTATCGTATATAGAATTGCCATGGGTTTACTTGTTATAAGCACCATTGTATTATTGTATTGCTGACTCAATAATATATACGTTTTCATTCTCTCTCTCTCTCTCAACAGGTTCAAATAATAGTGAACTAGTTAAGACTGACTCTCTCTCTCTCTCTCTCTCTCAATAGGTTCAAATAATAGTGAACCAGTTAAGACTGACTCTCTCTCTCTCTCTCTCAACAGGTTCAAATAATAGTGAACCAGTTAAGACTGATTTGATTTACGATTGAAGGTAAACCAAAATTCAACCAATCGAAACTGAACCTTGGTTTTATTTGATTGGCTGGTAATGTTAAATGAGTTTTAATCACATTATGCCAAGTTGTATATACCTCCTTTTCATACCTTAATCATCATTTACAAATATATATATATTAAAGACCCTATTTCACTCCGACAGTATCATAGATCGCGTCAATGCAGAGGAAATGAATGCATTTCCATGCTATTACATCTTGATCTTACGGAGCCTACTCACGTAGGATTCCGTCCTGCTCCATTGATCTTCTCATTTTTTCGCGCTTTCCTTTGATTTTCAATTCAATTAAGAATACGTTCCGAAAAGGTGAAAAAATCAATAGAAACCAAATATTTCTGTTTATAGTTGTTTGTTTACTTTCAACTTTCAATTTGGTGTGTTCCCTGATACAATTGAGTGCTATAACTCTCTCATAAATTCATTTTAAAAAGTGCGAGAAATAAAACGCACGAGTATATTGGCGGCCGTAAAAAAACACCAGAGTAAATTACTTTTGGCTAAAAGGTAATTCAACAAACTAGAAAGTCACAAAAATTAGGTTGAATAAAGCATTGGTTTGCAACAATATATCCAGACTGATCCAAATGATATGGTTCACAAATCATATTAGGATTTGTTCAAACTAGAAGCAACCTAAGCTGGCTGATCGCAAAACTATTTCTTAAGCTCGTTTGATAAACAGAGCTAAAGCCCATCAATAAATTATGGCATAGCATGAAGTTTTCGCAGTTAAAACTAGAAGATTTAAGTCACAAGCCAGTTATAACAATCATCAATAAAATGCACAAACCGAATTTTCAATAATAAGATAGCATGGCTGCAGAAAACCTCCAACAAAAGTAGTAACATCTGGATCAAAAAGTTTCGGATACAAAATCCATAATTGAATTAAGTTCAAAGACCTAAAAGTAAAGCAGATATAGCAGTTGATTTTCAAGGGCGAGGTGGCATTGGTGCTCCCGGTCCTCCTCCTGCAGGGCGTGCAGCTTGATTCGGCTTTGGCAAGTCGTCCTGACACAAGACGGAAGAACATCAAGAATCCACATAACAAAAAGTAAAAAAAATAAAATTCCAAACCAAATATCTGGATTGAGAACATCGTCAAGCAGCTTCAGCGCTACTGATAATGAAAAATGCAACATCAAAACAACTTGAAAAGAAAATAGAGATCAACTATGTATTTATAGTTCATAACAAGACCTATTTGAAAACCCTGTTTACAGAAAAACCATATATTCTAGAAGTGATTGGACTAGATAACACAGAACACGGCATCAGTGTCGAGAGGCCATCAACCAAAGAATTGAAATCATAAAAAATTCTATAAAAGTTCGTAAAACATACTTCAAAAAAGAATTTAGCATGATAATAGAAAATTTGTATGTGTCATTGAAGTACACACATTGCTTACAAGGTGTGTACTAATTTGGTAATGATGGTGAAAAATGCAACATCAAAACAATTGAAAGAAAATAGAGATCAGCTATGATAAACAGAGTCCCAGAGAGAACAATCTTTACAAATAAAGAGAGATCATAACAAGACCTTGTTTGAAAACCCTGCTTACAACAAGACCATATTCTAGGAGTGATTGGACTCCATAACACAGAACACGGCATAGGTGCCAAAGAATTGAAAACATATAAATTTTCTACACAAGTTCGAAACGCATACCTTCAAAAAAAAATAGTATGATAACAGAAAAATTGTATGCATCTTTGAAGTAAAGACATATTGCTTGGAAGCAAAACGTGTGCTGGGAAGTTCAGAAACTAAACACTTGACAAACCAAAGCCACTCTACAATATCAAGTAGCGTCCAAATTTTACAAAGACAATGTTGCGTGAGTCATGTAAACAACAAGGCTTAAAAGTTATGCCTTCACATATATTTAAACATGTAAACAACAAGGCTTAAAAGTTATGCCTTCGCATATATTTAAACGATTAACATCATAGAATCAGACTTAATATGTTTAAGGGCATTTACTCAAAACCAAAAAAAAATCAGAAAAGGCAGTGAAAGTGTTCTCTTATTAAGAGAGGCCAAAAAAATAGAACATATGCATTAGCGAGCTAAATATTTGGATAAATGGAATCTCAAACTGATTCAAGGCTCACAGACAAGATTACAATTACAAGCCAATTTTCAGTGATGCACGCTTGACGCACCAAATGGGAAATCACAGTAACAGAATTAAACAATGAACTACATAAAACAAAGAAAATATAAACTTACCCTGCGCCTGTAGCGCTGAGGAGGCTCACGAATCCTCCTGTCAGTACGAGAGCGAACCCTGACAACTTTGGAGTGAATTGCACATGAAACACAGTACTGCATCTTCACGTACAGCTTTGGTAGAACGTAATCTTGAAAATAACACCATTACCCCGTAATAAAAAATCATCAAACTAAAAAAAAAAAAAAAAATCACATAGAAATAGAAATGAAGAGGCAAATGCAAAGAAAAAACTACTTTCAAAACAACAAGCCTCCTGCACGTCCCTCACAGCTGCTTGCTCAACTATGTTCCTAACGAGGAACCTCTTTATAGCCTTGTCCTAGAAAATAGGTCCCAAAATAAAAAACAAATTTCATTATCAGTATTTTCATATCCACAAAAGTAATCAAATAAATCATTATACAACTTCAAAGTGTTTTATACATTTCACTGTCGATAAAAAAAAAAATTAAAAAAAAAAAACACAAACTATAATTTAAATATCAAAGAGACCCGAACAATTCTCACATCTACAAATCGAAAATCTCATAAAATAAAAGGAAAATCAAAATCTTATGCCGATTTATTCACCAGAAAAACTAAAATCAATCAAATCATCAATAGATCTACGCACACATACATATACACACACATCAAACAAATCAATACAAACATATATACATATATATTGTAGAGAGAGAAGAAGGGTACCTTGGGGCAACACTTGCCACAGTTGGAGCATCGGATGAACTTCACATGGCCACGGCCGTGCTTGTTTCGTCCGCCGTTCCTTCGCTTAAAAGTCTGCCGAATTTCAACAAAAATCAGTGAGTAATTGTTAAATCAGATTGGAAATTCAGAGTTCTTTCTTCTCGAAAATTCTGGCTTACCATCGTGTGGCCCTTTTCTCTGAAACCCTAGCCCTGGATTCACTCAACAGCTTAGGGTTGCTTCACGACTGCTTAGGGTTTTTGTTCCAGAAATGCGCAAGCGATATATTTATAGTGGCTGTTTGAAGCCAAAAGTGGGCATGGGCCGGGCTGATTTAGGCCTATGCTACCATATATGATGTGGGCTAGTTTACAATTTACCCAATGGACCAACAGTACAAATTTAAGCCCAGCTCTCTATTTATTAGAAAAAAGAAAAATGTTGTCTCTATTTTCAAATAGACAAATATACCCTTATAATATACTCTTTATCAATATAACCATATAATGGTAAAAACATTATGGTCAATTTACAATTTCACATCAATTGTCTTTTTCTTTTTTCTTTTTTTTTGGTAAAGTACATTGACACTCCCTAAGGTCTGTCAAAAGGACACTCAGATGAAAGTTGGCCTATTTTGGGACAATGACACCCCCTCAAGTTTGATATAGCTACCAAAGACACCCCAATGGTAATGAATTGACATTTTTGCCCTTTAACTTTTATATTGACCAGTTTAAATGTTGAAATGACAATTATAACCTCATACCCTTAACCATTTGTTTCCTTCTCCTCTCTGTTATCTCTTCCTCCCAACACCAACACACACATACTGTTACACAGATACACATATACAGATACATATATTCATATACACACAAAGCTGATCTTGCTTTTTACAGAACAATGAATCCATCATCGCCGAATTTTTCTCTCTGGCCGTACTTGCTCGCCGGCCACCATCATCTAAAGTTGATCTCGTTATTGCCACCATCCACGGCCGAGCCATGACAGCACCGTCTTTAACCTTGCACATCACTGAGCTTACTGCCGCTTCCATCACTGCCGACATCATTAAAGCTGAAGCTCTCCGCCATCACCCTCATCTGCGCCACCATTGATTCATCTCTGCCATCACCCATTAGAGGAGGTAAAGTCGGCTTTGGAGCCAAGGATATTAACGACGAACTCGCATCCGCCAGATCCATCCGGACCCACCTGTTGAAGAAACCGGCTGTGCCTGTCCCTGCCGGCACAGCTCCGGTTCTACCTATATTCGGCGCGATGGCTCCCGGACCGTCCCTAACTCCGGCGCTTGCCGCTAAACCTGGAGGACCTTACAACACTTCACCACCGATCTACTTGTTTTCTTCATCGACGGCGTCTTCGATCCGTCGCCGATCTACTTGTCTTTGATCCGCCGGAGATGGTGGCCTTCTTTAAGTTTCCGGCCGTGAAGAAAGAGTTGAGGAAACTCACAATCCTGCCGCCTTGTGTGTTTATATATATATATGTATCTGTATGTGTGTGTGTGTGGTTGTGTGTATATGTGTGTGTGTGTATATATATGTATCTGTGTAACAGTATGTGTGTGTTGGCTTTGGGAGGAAGAGATAACAGAGAGGAGAAGGAAACAAATGGTTAAGGGTACGAGGTTATAATTGTCATTTCAACATTTAAATTGGTCCATATAAAACTCAAAGGGCAAAAATGTCAATTCATTAACACTAGAGTGTCTTTGGTAACTATATCAAACTTGAGGGGGTGTCATTATCCCAATATAGGTCAACTTTCATCTGAGTGTCCTTTTGGTAAATCTCAGGGGGTGTCAATGTATTTTACCCCCTTTTTTTTTTTTATATATATCTGACACAATCACAGTAGGCGTCGTCTTCGCCATCACCACAACAATTGGCTGCGACAACACCACCACCACTACTGGCGGCTCCGCTACCACCACAATCGATGCTCCCGTCGCCACCACAACCACCACTGCCATCCTTACCTCGACACCATTGTGTATTCCGGCGAGCAACAACGCCACCGCCACCACAACCGGCGGCAGCAGTGCCACCATCCCCACCTCTATCCCTGTAACAGTCACCAACATTCCCACTCCACAACCACCAGTGGCCAGTGGCGCCACCACCACCACCACCATCCCCACCCTAACAACCTCTATTATGGCCATTGAGTCTCGTAGCCGATAGTGAAATTTCCATAGCTGAAGTTCTCGTGCTCGGCGAAGGTGGCCGTCGGTCTTGGCATGACGGAGGCGTTGGTCTTGGTATGGCGGCGGCGTGCTTTTGTTAGGGTTAGGAGAGAGCGTGAACCCATAGAAAAGGTTGAAGAGATGAAAAATTACATAAATACCCATTATTTTTATGAGGTGGCAAAATCTAGTGAGGGTGTTGTTGTCCAAACACTCTTAATTCCTTCATGTTTATTGCATTTTGAGCTGACAAGTGAAAAAGGCATTAGAATTCAAGAAACTCATAGAGCTTATTCATTTTTCATATATCAGAATTGTAAGGTGAATATTATCATAGATTTATTTGTAAATTCAAACTCATAAATTTGTTTTTTTTTTAATACTTTATAATGAAGAAATTTAATACGAAGTGGTGAAAAAAAAAAAAATTACAAAGGGAAAGGTTATAATTACAATATTAAAATGTTGGAGGAAATGTAAATATAAAAATTATTAAATTTGTTTTTTAGAATTTTTTTTTTTTAATTGGACGAGCGCGATCCCGATGTGTAGACATCTAGATGCTTGTTATGGAAAATTAAATTTTTAAAATTTAAATATAAGTTAAATTCTTAAAGAAAATCAACCACTTGCACACTACTCTCCCAACAACAACCAAAATAAATAAATAAATAAATTGATTAATGAGTCATGATATCTTACTCAATGAGAGCAAGAAATTTTTTTCACATATTTTATAGTCACAGTTAGATTAAATCTCATGGTCAAATTCTAAACTCACTCATCTCCTTGCCAAATATTACAAATTTGCCTATTTGGGATTTGCTTCTCTGCAGCTAAAAAGTCCGTTAGTTTTAAAAAACTACGATTGTAAATGTAAGTGTTTGATGACTAAAGAAAGTAAAGCATAAATCAATTGCGTTCGTTAAAATAACTATTTTTTTTTATTATAATATAAGCCCTCACTTTTGTTTATAAATATAATTTTATCCCTTACTAATCCGCAGTGTCATTGTTCCCATTATTTGTAAGCCACACGGACACTATAGCATGCGTGGAGTGAAAATGAAAATTTTAAACTATTTTTTAGTTGTAGCGTGTATTTAAATTAGTTTTATAATCCGTAATCATGCAATGTTAACCAACAACCATGCCATGTGCATGAATCACTCACATTAATATCATACAACATCGTTATTAGTGTATATCTAATATAGTAAATTAATAATAAAAGTGTTTTAAATAACTTTGTTACCAAACAAATTTACACTGTGCGCTAAGTATAAAAGTAAAGTGTTTTATACAATACATTACCAAACACATAACACACACATAACATGAATTTTACTGATAGCAATTTTGTAACAGGTCTATTATTAAAAGCATTTTTTCTAACCGCAATCCCAAACGGATTCAAACCCACTCTCCCTATTTTTAATTTTCAAAATTACCAAGTATTACCAACACCATCATAAAAATAAAAAGTAATTTACCCAAAAAAAAAATCAATGACAATTTTCAAACCTTTGTCGTGTAGAGCTTCAAAAAAACTTCAACATTTATACGCACTTCATAATGGCTCCATAGTTAGTCATGGTTTGCTTCTTATTCTTAGGGAGTTTTTTTTTTTTTTTTTTTTTTCTCTCTCTCTTTAATACTTGAGGTCAATCAATAAGGCTGCCTCCTTTATAGCATGAATTGGTGTTTCAGAGTCTAATAAGGTCTATTAAGATAAAATATTAAGTTCGAAAACATATTCTCGGATACATAGAGCGATTCAACCATTCAGACAACATGACACTTATAATTATATTAATTTATTAGATTCTCTCTCATTTGACTTAAAAGGGGTGAACATATCTCTTTTACTCAATTTTTTAATTTTAATTTTAGTTAACATTTAACCTATTTTAAAGGGATAATATATACTTAGGTTCTCATCGGTGAAGATGTACGTCGTCCTTACCGCTGAGGTTTGCCCACCATCTTTGATTTAGTAACACTATGTTCAGTAGGAAAGAAAAAATTAGATGGAAAGGAGAGAAGAAGAGGTGGATGAAACATCCATAGGGAAGAGATTGTATATATTTTCTTTCTATTTGGTTTGATAGAAGATAAGAGAATAATCTCATAATTTACCATGTTCATTTAAGAGAGAATGAAAGACTAAATTTAAGGGTAAAATACAGTGACACCCCCCTCAGGTTTACCATAAGGACAAGAAGATACAAGTTAGCATCTTTTTGGATAATGACACCCCCTATAAAAAAAAATTAAGTCAAACAGCCTTTAAAAAGTAGGTAAAAGACAACATTGCCCTTCAACATTTAATTTATTTTTTAATATAAAAATTCTAAAGATTTAAATAACATAATTGCCTTTAATGCATTATTAAGCAGTAATACCTCCCTCTCTCAGCTCTCATCTCAATTGTTGGTAGCGGCAACGACAACGATGATAGTGATCCCACCAATAGCCTTCCAACCTTCACTATGAGTTGCTTCAAAATTCCGTTGGGTGTTTGTCAAAAATTACGAAGCAAATTTATTCAATTTTGGTGGTCAGGATCTAATGATCACAAAGGTGTTTGCTGGACTAAGTGGGATGTTATGTGTAAAAACAAAGCAGTGGGTGGCCTTGGATTTCGAGACTTAGAAAGTTTTAATTTGGCTCTTTTGGCCAAACAGGGATGGAGGTTGGAAGTGGAAGAAAATTATTTGTTCTCTAAGGTGTTCAAAGCTAAATATTTTCCCGATTCTTCTTTTTTGCAGTCTCATACGAAGAGAAGGGCTTCTTGGGCATGGCGAAGTATCTTTTCCAGCAAAGACATCCTTCTTAAAGGTTTTACGTGGACTGTGGGTAATGGTTGAAGTATTAATATATGGACAGATCCTTGGATTCCAGACTCTATGGATTTCAGAGTTCAAACTCCTTGTCCTGTGGATTGTGACCTTCAAATGGTCCATGATCTTATTGATCCTTACACCAAGAGTTGGAATTGTTCTCTATTGTCTCAATTTTTTTGCTTTGAAGATTGCAAGCTTATTCGAAGAATTCCTATTAGTGAATTTGCTAGTTCAGATAAGAAGATATGGGGGTTCTCTAGTACCGGTTCTTTCTCTGTCAAATCAGCCTATTACGTCGCTTTTCACCTTAAGGAAGGTAGTCCCATTCATCCTCTCCATGTTGTTTCTCTTTCTAACCAAGATGCTGGGTCTCAAGTGTGGAAAAGTCTTTGGACTATTCAAGCAAAGGAAAAAATATTGCATTTTTTGTGGGCTGCTTACCATGGTCATCTTCAAGTTTTCTCCAATATGAAACGCAGGAGCATAATGGAGGATGCGTGTTGCAAAAGATGTGGGCTTGACATTGAAAATGTCGACCATCTATTGTTGTTTTGCCCTTTTGCTCAAAACGTGTGGCGATTAAGTCCTTTAGGGGTGTTGGTTGATCAAATCCCTTATTTTACATAGTCTTCATAGTTTTCAAATATTGTTGTAGTGCTTCAACACTCTACCTTGAGGATGGATATTTTAAGTTTAATTGCTTACCTTGTTTGGTACTTGTGGAAAGCCAGAAATGCTTATATTTATGAAGCTCATGTCATGACGAAGCACGAGGTTATTTTTCTTGCTTTGAAGCAATAAGATGAGTTCAAACAAATTATGGATGACCCGTCTATGCGTTGTAACGGACCGCTTACAAATAGAAAAGAGGCATGGCAACCTCCACCCATTAGTGCTTATAAGTTGAATTTTGATGCTTCTTTTATTGCTCATTCTGGAGAAGCTACTGCAGGATTTGTTATTCGAAATTGAGAAGGGTGCATTGTCAAAGCTGCCATTTGTTCATTACCAAACATGTCATCTGCTCTAATGGTTGAAGCTGCTATTGCTAGGAAAACACTTAAATGGAGTTTGGAGTGGGGAATTACTGATTTAATTATCGAGGGTGATTGTAAAGTGCTCCTTGATTCCAAGAGTCCTCAAATTTGCATCGCTGCTATTTGGGAAGATATTAGCTTTCTGCTTTCCCAGTCCCACTGGGCATCTTTGAATTGGGTTCGTAGAACTGCTAATTATGTTGCTCACGTATTGAGTCACTTGGGTTTGAAAGAAAAGAGTGATATTCTGTTTGATCTTGCTATCCCTAGAGTGATTCAAGAAGCAACCTTGGTGGACTGCCATAATCTATAATGTGTTTTCCTTTGAATAAATGAATTCTTCTTTCTTGCCTTGAAGAAAAAAAATAATAATAATAAATAAATAAAATAAATAAATCCCACCAATAGCCCAAAAGTCCTTATTATATACTACTATATATATATATATATATATTTTTTTTTTTTTTCAGTTTTGGCCTTTCTCTCTCCTCTCTCTAAGAACAATAACCACTAAGGGTGAATTTAAGGGTAGGCTCTCATGGGTGAGCCCACCCCAAATTTTTTTTTTAATTTTTTTATTTTTTATTATAGACAATTTTAGCCCAGTCAATATATATATATATATATATATATATATATATATATATATATCCCATTCACAATTTCTAGAACTGCCGTGCTCACCCCAAACACCGCCACAATCTCCACTCCGGCACTAAAGATTCTATCACATATATTATTATTTTTTTAAAGATTCCTTTTCAATAGAATAATTTAAGAACAATTATTTATTTTCTGTGTGGCCCATGCTATTTATTTATATTGTCATTAGTATTCCTATGCCTGTTATTCTTTTTATAGGGATTTTTGAAACTTCATTCTATGTACTACTACTTCTCAGAATCTCAGAAAATTTGGTGAACTGCATGACTGTTTCTTCATAATTTTGTGCAACAATTATATTACTTAAGGTATTTATTAAAGGACTAATAGTGAATAATAATTAGTAGTTTCACAAAATCAATATGGCTATTTTTATGAATAATTTTTAAACAAATACTTTTATCCATAATTAAAAAACTATTAATATCAAAATCATAGGCAACACTCACTCACATAGTGATTTTCATATTGCATATAAATAAAATAATATGAGCAATAAATTGTTTATTTTAAAATTCAAACTCATAACATCTCTTTAATAAATGAATTTAGTATGAATAGATTGAATAGAAATATGGAATAATAATCAATAACATAGTAGCGTACACTGCTACAAGTAAATATGATGAGGGTCAGTACTTTAAAAATAACAAGTTTCTAACATCTCATATGGGACTTTCCTGTCTAATCGACGGATAAGATGCATCTTATCTAATAGCTCAGATTTAACTTCTAAAACTTTTTACTAAATTTTTTACTCTCCATATTTTTCTACATTGTTTTAGAATTCTCCCTATCTAAATGTTTACTTATATTTAACTTCTAAGATACATAAATATTTACTCTACATTTTTTAAAAAGTTTTTTTGAGAATTCTCCCTACTTAAATGTTTACTTCTTTTTTCATTGACATATATATATATATTTTAATAGAATTCTCTCAAAATGTTCTACCTCTTTGTTGTGGGTCAATAATATTGCACTTGAAATTGTGTGTTGTCTGATATTTTTTCGAGTTTGGTCTGATGTCGGCATCATGTTCAAAATTTGTTCTGTACATTGTTTCTCTTTTATATACTTTACCTTTCGAAAAAAAAAAAATTCCTAGTAACATATATATATATATATATATATATATATATATATTAGTAATTATATAATTTAAAAAATAATATATATTTTACTACGAGTTTGGTTTCGGTTTTGATTCCAGACCTTTGGAATTGTAACCGAACCGAAACTCAACGGTACCAAAAATTTGAAATCATTGATAAGAACCAAAATCGAAGCACTGGTTCGATTGAATTCGGTTATGATTGTGCCTGCATAATTGTTCAGCATTAAAGTTGTAGAATTCATATTATTGACTATGTGAGGGAACAATCTTAAAATAAAAAATAGAAAAAGATACAATAAACAAGTTTAGACAACATATAAGATGACTGTTAGGTATGCTAAATGATGGTCAAAGTTTTACTTGCAAATGAAAGCTATGAGATAATGTAGAAGCTGACAATACAGAGTATTTCCTTAATTATTTGCAATACACTAGTATCACCTTAATTTAGTTTCAAAGTGAAAAGGATTCAAGCCCCTCTAAAAAAAGACTCGCAAGTAAATAAAATATTATTTCCGATTCTTTACGGTGAGTGAACTAATTTTATCCTATTGATACTTATTTCATTAGTATATTGAATTTGTTAGTAGCCATTCGTTTTACCACGTTATCATTGTAACGATTATAATTAATAATTTCTCATGAAACTCTACCATTTGGGCTATGAAGGTGTTCATGTATTTTCTCAACTTCTCTATATCTTTATTGAGTATTTTTTAAAAAAAAAAAAATTAATTGTAATATGAAAATACTAAATCAAAATATAATTATAAATTGAGAAGTGATAGGTCTTTCGACCTCAATTACCGACTCATTCTCCGAATATAACGTGGTTGCGAATGAGTCAAAAAGAAAGAGACATTTACGGGATTTTGTTTTAAGAGTTCCAACGTGATTCAATCACATTATATACGGAGGATGAGTCGACAATTAAGGTTGGAAGACCTATCATTTCTCTTATAAATTTTTTAAGTAGGTCATGTATATTAAGTTTCTTATTCACTACAAAGGGCCACTCAATAAAAAAAATTGTAACTTCTAGTTTTGATTATTTGAAGATCTAATAAAAAGGATCTCGTAAACTACATATATATTGGCACAATTAAATTCAAATTATTGAGTTATATTAGGGTTTCGATAAGTTTTGTTATTTTTCTCACTTTTCTAGATCTTTCTTATATTAAGAAAATTACTTTTAAAATACACAAAATAATCAAATAAACTGCCAAGAGATACTAAATCACCAATTATATTTGTGATGTTTAGCATTTTTCACAAATAGATGGGAAAATATTGTTATTAAATATTGTGATGTTTAGCACTTTTCAATATCAATACAATTCTAAACCATCTTATATTTGGCACAATGAATTTAATAACAATATTTTCCCATCAATTTGTGAAATAATTTTATCAGTGTGGCATCATTCAAAATATTAAAAAAATAAAAGAATCTTTTATCTCCCCCTAAAAAATCAATTATTTTATTTTATTTTTTCTCTCGCCATGAAACCCAAACTGCCTCATCCTCTTTTTTTTTTTGGGTCACAAAACTTCAGTTAATCCAACAATAATTTGGGAAATGAATCTAAGAAATTTTAAGAAATATTTATGTTTTTGGAAAAATATACATAAATATTTCAATCACAGGCATTGAATTTGTTAAAATTCATTTCATCAAGCGATAAAATGAATTTTACTAAACAATTTTTATCTGTTTTTCTGTTTTCAGAATAAATCATACTAAACAATTTTATCATTAGGCTCGTTGTATATAAATTAAAGCTTTTTTATTTTTTATTTTTTTGGGTTAAAAGCAATGTAAAAGAATTTTTTTTTTTTCTTTTCCCACAAATATACCACAACTAAGAGAAATTTCAACATGTTATCAATTTGAATTCCTGTCCATCAAAGGCATTTGTGTAGTATGGTAATAGCAACTTTGATTATATTTATCAAACCCACCCCTTTAAAGGAGAGAGAAAAGGAAAGAAAATTAGAATGAGACCCATAGTGATACTATTGTTGTTGACACGGGTTGCTTGCAAACTTCTTTTATTGTGGGAGATTCGCCAAATTGGCCTGACCGATTTAAGAGCTTCCAAACCTGCAATTGTTAGCCCCACACCAATAAGAATTCTAGCTAAACTGTTTTGTGACCTTTACAATTTTAAAATATATTATTACTATCACTAGATCCATTTCATGTATAAATTTATCAAAAAAACTTTTCCAAATGTGTGTCCCTACTATTAGGATTCACCTGGAATATACATATATATATATATATCTCTCTCTTCAATACTGCTTGTTTTCACTTTCTGCATAGAGAATCTCACAGCATAAAGAGGGATTAGCGACTCATCTTCTGTATTCAGGAACACCACCACCCATTGGCAATGTGCATTCCACTAGAAAACCTAACCTCTTACAAAGCCAATAGCCAGAACACTACATAAATTTTTTTTTTTTTTTAATAGGTTAGAACACTACATAACATTTCCTTTAAAATACATCAAAACTCTTGTAATATAAGTTATGATCTCCTCAAAAAAGCCCAAACCTATACCATGAAGTAAATGGAGACCCTTGCAGCGACATCTTCATCGCTGGAACAACCTTGTCCGCTAATTTTTTACTAGGGTAAATGAATAGATAAAGACTTGAGGAATCTTCATGCAATCAGGTCCTTGTTCGACTTCCATGCAGGAGGTGGGACACCACCATCAGTTAAAATGCTAGGTCCCTTTTCCGTACTTATTAGAGGATCGGATTCACTTTCCTTCGCCTTGAAGCATTCAAGAGGGGAGAGGATTAGTAAAATCATTTTTTCAGAGTATATTGCCAATGCTGCAACAGGATTATAGAGGTGAAGATTAAAAAAAAAAAAAAGAATTGAGATTTCGCAAAAGAGAAGGGACTGTAATAGCAATGGGGTAAAGATACATCTTTGATTTCATTTCTCACTCGTATATTCTATAAGGAAATACTATATGCAGATACATGATAGGGGAAAAGGAAAGAATGTTAAGTACCTGAGACAATTGTAGTGATGCTTCACTGGCCTTTTGCTGGCTTTCGAGACTGCAAGAATAAGAATAGAGAACCATCCCAACTACAGCAATCAGGATTCCTAAAATGTTTCGCCAGCTAAATGGGTCGCGAAGTAGAACGTAGCCAAAGGCCAAAACTAGGCAAGTTTTCAGATGTCCCAGGACCTGGTAAGTCACTGGAGATGTCTTGCCAATCACCAGAAAGGTACTGAAGTTTACGGACACTGATATCAAGCAGGATAGAACAATGAAGGCCTGCAATAAAGATAATACTAAGCGAAATTAATATTTCATTAATACTCGAGGGATGTGGGAGTGTTTTACAGTCTTTCAATTCTCACCAGTACTTTCGGGGTATATTTGAAAGCAAAAACATTCAGATTTGTCAAAAGACCGTCTACAAATGGGCCGGTGACGAACAAAGTGATTGCCTGATAGGGGCAAGACTGATACAGAAGTTGGGTAGAAGAAACCTTGAACTTCTTCTGGATGGTATTGGTCATCTGGGAGCAACTGATTAAGGTCTTGAAACAAGAAAAAAAAAAATTACTAATACGGGTAAAAAAACAATATTTGTATCATTGCTTTAAAAGCAAATTAAAAAACAGGCTTTCTTTAAAAAAATCGAGTAATTTTTTTCTTCTTTGCTTTAGTTTTAACATAAATCATGTAAAAAGAAAGGAAACATGAAAAGAAATAACAATGTCCACTTCAGCTAAGGATACAATTTGGGCAACACAAGTTGTAACAATTGCAAGCAGAGATATGACAGAACCCACGACATTGAGCTGCAAATCAGTCACAGTTGCAATTCCAACACCCAAGAGGAGGACAAGAAGTGAAAGCTGGACATTCTGACTGTGAATTGGCAGTTTAAGTTAGTATCAGTGCAAAGTTGTACCTTAACATGCATACACATATATAAATATATATATGGAAAGAAACCAAAAATGAATAGATAAAATCACTTATGTACTCAATGAAAAAGAAGCAATCACACATAAAAGTCAACTACCACAAAGCAATATCCTGGCAATTTGGGGTTGGCTAAAAAGATGTAATTACACATGAAGTATAACACCAAAGAAAAAGTTTAGAATTGATGATATTCACACTGGTAATCGATGTTTAGAAATACTTTAAACAAATAACTTATAAGGCTTACAAATTTCCTAATTTATCTCGGGAAGTAGGTTAAAATTGGTTAGAATTAATTAGGAAACTTGGGATAAGTTGACTAGGATCGCTTTGGATGAGATCTAAAGCTTTTTCAAATGAAAACAAAAATGTTTTACTGGACTAGAACACCAAAGAAATAGTTTAGAATTGATGATATTCACACTTGTAATCGATGTTGGGGCCATATAAATTATCTACTAGGAATCTTTTGATAAAGTTAATTTTTCCAAGAAGAATGTTTGATAGGCTTTCCAATACTATATAATTTGTTTAATTTCAAGATCGATTGACCATTAAATTAAAACTTTAAAGTCAGACTGATAGCAAGGACCAATTTACAAGGTGTGTGACATACACAATACTCAAAGAGTTGTATAAAGATTAGTATTGATATGAAACTGTCCAGAATGTCATGAACCGGTCCACAAATTTCATGTACCAATACCAATTGCCCTGGAGTTTACTTACCTAAACCAAAAAAAAAAAAAACTGTCCTGGAGCTAAAAACAAGAGAGTCCTTTCTGAATTAGTTTCTACTTCTTCTAGCAAACAAAAATATCTTTTGTATGGTTGTTGACCTTAATGTTTTATTGAGGACTTGAAGATCATTAACTACAACATGAATCCATCACAGGACACTTCAAATCTTCAAGGGAGTTATTATTCTCGTGCCGAATGACAGATGGTCAGCGTGTTGGACTGTTGGGCCGTTGGCTATCGAATATGGAAGAAGGCAGATCACATGTAGCAATTGTGTTGACAGAATAACAGCTAGTGATTCCTATAATGTACTTTTGACTGGCAAGACCACTACCGTCAGAAGTAAATCACGAGGTGACTAGATGGTCAAACGAACCATTTTTCAGATTCAGGTCAAAAATACATTCACTTAAAGTTGGTTAGTGCCGATAGATGCAATGTGAATATCATTCCCTTAATTAACTAATTTGTTAAGATATTGCCCTGTGCATGTCAGTACACCTGGTAGTACAACATTTTGGACTGACAAGAAAATTGGCTCCCGATGAGGTGCACACTGCTTTGCTAGTATAGTGTACAGACTGAGAATTCTTCTTCAGATCAGAAGAAAAATATGGGCGCTACAGCAGCCTGCACAGCAATTAAACTAACCTGAATTTCTTCCTAAAGAAAAGAGTCTCCAATAGAACCGTACATGGGATGATTGCAAGTTTTGTCATCTGCAATGCAAAATCAAGAGAGAGAAGATTCAGAAAATAACAATCCAAATAAGAATGTTTAAAAGCAGAAACAAGCATGGATTATGAGGAATGACATTACATATTCAGAACTTCTATTATTTATTAAATAAAAAAAAAAAAAAAAAAGGGATATATTATTCATTCTTGACTTGCAAAATACAAACTAGATGTTTCAGAGTGTTCACATGCACAAACAAATAGTGAGCAAGTGTATTGTAATAATAATAATAATGAAGCAAGAATACAGAGTTGATATAGTTGTCAGTCCTTCATAAAGCAAAGAATACAGATAAATCATTCATTGTCATCTATGAGGTTTTCCCTAGAAAATAGATTCAAGTTACAGGAATCATCCAATTGTTGATGCAATAAAATAGTCAAAATAAAAACATGAAACCATAAGCTGCAGCGGGAAGACAAGGACTTCACCTGGTAGAAACCAACAGAATTAAAACCCAAGCTAAGGTTCAGAAGTCCAATGGAGGTTCCATTTAGTATGCCAAAGCCCATTACAGCTCTTGGATCAAAAGGCTTGTGCTCAAACAGTTTCATCCATAGTGCCACATGAAGGGAACAAAATGTGACCAGAAGATGCCAGCTTGTCAGAGTTGTTGCTGAAACATTTGAGACGAAAATTTAGAACAAAATATTTAAGCAATATCAAGCACAAGGGAGTCTAAATCTATGACATGTCATGCAAGATCTACAACTGCAAAGCAAAGCAACCATGCAATGATATATCTAACTAAGAGATCTGTACTAAAATTTACAGATTTAAGAAAAATAATAATAATAAACCCCATGCTTAATGACCTTAAAATAAACACAAATTAAATTTCTCAATGGCTTTAAACAAGCAAATGCACCACAAGAATTTGTAGCATTCAGCATGGAAATGATATTCACTAGAAATTAGAATCACTTCACCAGATGTTTTCAAGTTTTTACTTCACATACAGTGAGGATGGCTTGTAACGTTTATATACATGTATTGGTTTTACTCAATAGTAAGTGATCCACATTGTTGACTAAGAATTGACTAACTGTTTCAACTTACCCACTAATAGCTGAAAAGCTGTTGGCATCAGACACATTGTTGTAATGGTGGCAGTTACCATATCCTCTTCCCTTGCCCTATTAGATGAGTGGGTGGTCTAGGTCAGCTATCCTGTGAGCTCTACGAAATACTAGCGTGACGCTTTTGATTAATTTGTCATTTCTTTCCATTATTGAATAGATTAAATAAAAAATTATTAAAAAACAAGATTTTGTATTTTTATTATTTTCATTGTGCATCACATGGCAATAACATTTAGATGCACATTCTGCAGAAAAAAGATGTAGGACTGTTGTGTGTCTAACACAATTTGCTGCCTTGTGCTAACAAACCTCCAGAAAGATCATAATTAAAAGATCCAAGTTATGTGCAACTATTTAACATTAAATGCTAGAGATAAAGGAGTTCTAAGGGCCCCGACTGTGGTAGTTTGTAAGCTATTTTTCACCTCTAATCCATTAGAATTTATGGTTGAATCCATGATTCTAGAGAAATTGCACTATATATAAAATAAAAGTATTTTTCAGTGGAGAGGGCGACAATAAGTGAACCAGCTTTAGAAATTAGCAAGGCCCAGAATTAACTAAGATTAACATTATTATTAATTACATTCAAAATAAATCTGAAAATTTTTCAAAACACACACATGCTTATGACCAAAATAAATGAATACATATACAATATGTCCATGATCACTAACCTTTTTCACTTATAATACTAGTATGTGTGTACAAAGCATGTCTCACATGAAAACGCCCAATGGATAGGACATATCTTGCTACTGAAAATTGGCAACTCCAACATAGATACAACGCCATGTTTGCAGAGTCCAACAATGATCAAAATTAACTAAACTTGAACCATGGTATCAATTACATTTTTAAATAGACCTGAAAAATTACAAACACAAGTATTTTTTTCCCCAAAAAAAAAAAGGAAGAAATAAATGAACATATACTATTAAAACCACAAACATGTCAGCTTCTAATACTAGAATTTCTGTATAATGTAAGCCTAAAATGAAAAGGCCAATGGCTACTGAGCATTAGACAGATGACACATAGGACACATCTTCCTATTGAAAACTGGTCTGCCAGAAACTTGTTGATACGCCCATGTCTGCCGAGTTGGACCACTGTCTAATCATTTGCAACAACAGCCCTTCATTTCCCTGGATAAAATACAAAAGTACTAACTACAACATGCATTTTTGTCAAGACACCTATTGTACAGTTATAATTTCCTGAAACTTGTACAACACCTATGTCAGTTTCTCTGCTGAGTTCAACTTCAATCACTAATAAAATAATTCAATTTATTTCCCAGGATAAAAAACGAAAAATGTTGAAGGTATTATGCACTTTTTGTCAGGATTTGTGAAGTAATAATCTCATCAATGATTTATTCATGGTTATTTTGCAAGTCCGCTGGAATTTAACATGACACACAACCACATCACAGACAAAACACACTGAAATGCACATGCACAACTGTCTAGGGTTTTGTGGAGTTAGTGTCTGATAATGCAAATTCATGTAGAAACATGATGGTCTTGCTTATGTACAGAATCCGTACAATTTAACTTGACCAAGTGAACAAATATGGAGAAAATCCACAATATCACTGAAGAAGAGTAAGAAAATTTTCTTCACATGGATTCAGAAAGGTAATCAAATCAATCATATGCATGATAATTGAGTGGTTATTGGCTCAATCCATCCAAGTAATTATGTTTATGCTGAATGATACCAAATGAGGGATTCAGCCTCTTTTCTTTTTCTTTAATTTTTTTAGTTCAATCGTTTGGGCTGCACAGCAGTGTGATGTCCCTTCCCCAGCCATAAACCTCTTACTCATGTCCCTCTTCTAGGACTTAAGCCATGTACTTTCCCTTGAGGAAGAAGCACGAGACACCATTGAACTGAATGTTAATAGTTAATCCTCTTTACTGTGATAAGAATTGTCATTCTGGTCAGAATCATTGTAACGACTACTAAATATATATATATATATATATGGGGGCGGGGTGGCGGGGGGGAGGAAGAAGCAGGAATAAATAAATAGGTTTCATCTAAAATAATTATATTTATAAGTATTAGCGTGTAGACACAAAATAGTTCCTTTAAAAAGGAAATGATAATGAAAATTCAAATTGAAGATAAGGACCTCACCTCTCCACATTCAGCAAAATACTTTCATGGCAGGGGTACGAGAGAAGGAGAATTTTAGAAGGGGAATGTGTTATGAGAGAGAGAGAGAGAAAGGATTAACAACAACTAAGGATTCTAATTAAAACCAGACAAGTTATTATTTTCTTCTTTTCTACATAACAATAGCAAATAATATTAGGTTAGGAGAATTTATTAGCTTAATAAGAAACCATGAAATAATTTATTGGCTGAAGAAGATTAACATGAGATTAAGATCCAAAATTTTGAAAAATTTAGACATTGTTGCAATATTAACATCGAGAATATTATTATTAGGATAGCATCTTATTCACAAATGCACTACTACTAAATAGAAGGTATGATTTAGCCTGTTGAGCTACGAATTTCCACTTTATTTACCATTTCAGGTGATGGGTGAGTTAGCGCATTGTGGATGTTCCTTTGCTGATTAGTATTACCATTTATCTATGCTTGTTTATCTTTCTATTATGCTATTGAGATTTGAGAGATCTTGTAGTGAGGTTAGAATGTAAATATGAAATATTACCACTTGTTGGGTTCTTGCTTTCTGTGTGTGTGTGGGTATATTTATATATATTATATAACATAGACTGGTGGTTAATTGTATAAACATGGATAGATGGCAATTCAAATCACGTCCTAAGGCTATCTATCCTTGACAGATATAGATATATTTTTCATAAGCTATCTATCCTTGAAATCAAATATAGGGCATGACAATCCTAATGTTCCAGATGATAATATAGAGAGGCACTACCATCATGAGCATAAAAGTATCTGGTAAGAGCAACAAGTGAATCACTCACTCTCTTGTACAGAGAATTGACTGTGTCACTCCTATGACTTTGCATGTTGTAAGTCCAAGATCTTGCATTTGCAACAATAATAGAGTAACAATAATACAAATCACTTTAGCAACGCAAATTTCTTTGAAAAAAAGAAAAAAGTGAAGTATTCAGAGTAAGATGAATAAAAAGACCACACAAAATGTGGGACCGCCATATTGCATGTTCAAAAGCTCAAGGTGATGATGTAACAAGGTCAAAAGGTCATTCAAAAGGAATAAATACTGCAAATACTTTTCCTGGAAAACAAATAAGCTGGAGGCTTAGATTCGACTCATATTTGTTATAAACATTAATTGCATTTGAGTTTTACATTTAAACAAGCTTATTGAAGTTACGCATGACCACTGCACTTATGTTTTAAATGTCGAATTGAATGCTTTTTTTTCAACCATCACCGTACAGAGTTGGATGTATCATTAATTATAAATTATAGACTTGGACCACAACAGCCAATTGTTCATTCACTTCTTGCTAGATTATCTATAAATCCAATGCTTTTCTACACCTGTAACTTTCCACAAATTTTTGTGTACTGACGAAAAGTGTCAAATAAATAGCACTAAATCAATTGCGTCAAAAATTCAAAACCATAAAATAAATTCAAAACCATAAATCTTATCAATAAAAAATGCCACATTAATAATTGAATTAAACAAAATGAGAAGACAAAAGTGAATCATAAGCCTAATTGCTGAAGAGATTGATCACTCACCAAAAGTAAAACCAAGTGTGCTAATTAGCGCCTTGTTGCAAATCACGATCGATACCGACGAAACCACAGACAGACTCAATGCCCCAACAGTTCCTAGGTGAAACCGCTGGCCGTCACTCATCTTCACTCTCCTTCAACACTCCCTCTATCACAATCTCAAATGTCTACTCATCACAGACAGCACTCCAACAATTCGCAAAACCTAAAGCAAAAATCATAATAATAATATTAATAAACGTCAAAAATCATAATAATAACAATCAGCAAGAAATGTAAGAATTAATCATACCTAATCAATAATTATCAAAAAGTAAGAACATTAAGAAAAGAATCAGCTCAACTAACAATCAAAACCAAAAACAAAGCAAAATGGAAAACGACATTCAAAAAAAAAAAAAATAAAGGATTTGTGAACAATGAAAAGATCCGAACAAATTCAGGCGTTCCGAAACAAACCCTAGATCTGCTACTTTCGATTACTAATAAGTTTATATTGCGTGCACAAATGTATAGACATCGATATATATATATATATATTTAGAGAGAGAAAGTAACCTACGGAGCTCTGAATCACTGAAAATCATGAAGTAGTCTGCATATCTGTGTTTCAGATCGACCAATAGAGGATTAAATGTTTTTAAGCACATGAAGGGTCGATATTTACATAGTATATGAAAATAATTTATTAATAGTATATACGTACTGTATTTGAAGTGTAAATCGCAGAGAAAGAGAGATTAATGCGAGTATTTGACTTTTATGAGTTTCCGGCCCCTTTCACGCCGGCGAATTTGGTCATATATGAAAATATCTTGAAATCGAGGGCCTTTTCTACTGTATATTTCGTGCTCCTAATTAATTTTAAAAATCAGTATTGGTTATGTGACACAAGGAAGAGAATTTAGAAAAAATTATTTATTTATTCTTTTTTTAAAAAAAAAAAAAATAATTTTGAAATAATCTAGTCAGAACAAAATGAAGGAAGAGAGTTTAGCGATTATTGTAATTATCATGTTATTAATATTTTTTATTATTATTTTGGTACATTTGTGTAAGATTTATTTATGACTAATTATTAAATAATTTTAGACTATTAATACTTGATAAATTAGTTAAATACAAATTATTTAATTAAAAACAAAACTTCTTGAGATAATATGTCTCAAAATAAGTACTATACTTCTTTTTTCTTTTTTCTGTTTCAAAATAAGTGTTCACGTTTTTTTTTCAAATAATATATTTTACATCTTTAATATATATTGTTTGAATTTAAAATTTAAATATTCAAAACCATAAATAAATTAATAATTTTTCAGAGAGACAATGTATGTTCCATATGTTCTCTTAAAAATTATTACTCTTAGTAACTGTCACCTAGTTTGGAAGGTTTATAATAAATAAATAAAAAATATTATTAAATTTTGACCTTTATTATTTGATGTGACGTGGGCTCATGGTATGATCATTCATTTTAAGTGGGTAACGCCATCATATATGATTTTAACGTGATTCATGTGAATTTTGTTAAACTGTGTCCATCGTTGAATCATAATCACGTGATCGCACATGATTTGTTTCGGTGGAGCTCACAAGAGGTTGCATCATGCCAAACCCACTCTTCTAGAGTCTGACTAGGTTCAAATTGTACGTCTTATAATACTTTTTTTTTTTTTTTCTTTTTTTTTTTTTTTTTTTTTTTAAGAAAAAAAAACTATATTGAATAAATTTATGACATTTTTTTTTTAGAAGCAAAACCTTATTTCATGGTACAATAAGAAATAAAATTTTACTTTTCTATTATTTTGTGAGACTGAATACATTGTTATTGGAAGTTGTTACACATAATTATTTTGAATGAAATTAAATAAAATGCTATATTTATTTTTTGTGATGATAATAGTGTAATTGATCTTTCAAATAATGCAGTTTTGCATTATTGGACTAATCATATAGACCGAGACAATATTTTCTTAGGGATTTAGTTAAACAAATGTCGTATTTTTAGAGAAAGTGTATACTGATCAGAATTTTTTATATTCTCACAAAGATGCTTCTAGATCTGAATATCTTAAAAAGTCTATAGACATTTGTTGTCTTAATTAACTAGGATGCGTGACATTAACATAATTTAAATAGGAACTTCACACATGTATTGAGAGTCTAGTTTATGCATTTAGCTTAATTCAGTTTAGGGTTATTATTATTTTTTTGTTTTTCCCAACTTTGGCAAACTATAATTAGAATGAGTATGTTGAACACAAGTATATTAATGACATATGGATTATACGTGTGTAGCACATTATTGTTATAAATTGATGAATTTGTTTTTAGTTACTTATTTTGTTAGTAATTAAAAGGTACATTTATTTATTTTTAAGTTATATTGTTTTGGTTAAAAGTGACTTTTTTTTTTTTTTTTAACTGGTAAAAAGTGACGTTAACACGATCAGTTATGTGTTTAGACCAAAAGGATGAAAAAAAAAATAACATAAAATAAAAAAAGCTACATTTAGAATTTATCCGAAGCTACCAAAATGATAGGATCTTCAAGGTAAAATTCAAAATAATAAAGTTGACTTAAGAAAGATATGACTGTCCATAAGAGTGAAAAGCACGTGCGCAAGGAAATTTTGTGTTAAAAAAATAAAATAACTGTATTTGCACGTGTTAATTGTTTGACTTCTAGAAGAATGTAAATTGATTGACATAATACCTAAAATCTGAACAATTGATACATTATTTGTTTTTGGACCTTAATCGTCTACACTTACAAAGGCCCTTTTTGGTACTCGTTATTATTATTTTTTGGGCGAATGGTAAAAAATTTTCTCCGGCTTTCATCTGTTTGTAAAAAATACTCTTTATAAATATTTTTAATGAAAAAATTCCTTCAACTTTTTTGAGGGGTGACTTTAACTGATATCCATTTAAATAATTTGCGGAGCCATTTTTTTTGAACAAAATTGCCCCAAAACAGTAAAAGACTTTTTATTATTATTATTTACTCTCTCACCACATAAGGAAATTCTTCATACTTTTATTGGTGTTTCAATATTATAATTAATCATATATTTTTGTGCAGTGTTGAATGTAAAGAATGTTTCAATATTATAATTAAATCATATATACTATAATACTATATACATGTGTGAGAATTAAATCAAATTTATTTTATTTACTTTTATCCTATCAGTATGAAATCATATTATAAGTCAAGTTTATTTTATTTTATTATCCTATCAAATCCATATGATAATTTTTTCCTAATATCATCTAAAATTAATATGAAACCATATTATATGTTTATGTATAGAAAGGTATTTTATACACGCTTGCATAAAAGTTAAATAATTATAATATTTTTACTAAAAATAATGATTGTGTTGTCTTCTTCTCAAAAGGGACAATTACTACCAAAAAAAAAAAAAACAACGACAACAACCTCAAAATTTAGGGTTTAAAATCCCAAACTGTAGATCTTCAAATTTCAATCCAAACTTGCATGATCTTCCTATAGTTATTAATGCGAGTGAGTGAATTGCATGAAAAAGACGAATGATACTGAGAGTTGGTGGATGATTCACTTGGTTTAAACGAACATACTCAATGTCAATTTTGGTCATCAATAAACCATCAACGTCTAAGTCACCACCCATCTTGCAGGTCTTCTAGGTCCCCCTCCCTTTCCTCTTCACACACACACACATAAATATAAATGTGGAATCATTTTTGTTTAGGAGTATGTTATACCTTATGAATTTAGGGTTCTTGCAAAGGGTTATCAATTTGGCATCTCAAAATTTGTTGTGATTTTTGATAATTGATTGAAGAAGGAAACAAACAACTTGAGACTTTTTAACAATAAAAAAAGAATGGCAAATGGATATTCCAATACTTCATTATCCTACTGGACAACAGGATGTGAAATCCTTAATAAATTCCATTGTAGTTTTGACATCTTTTAATATATTAACAATAATAATAACTTCATTTATGTAACAATTGAAAAATCTTGATATACCATCACTGCCATAGTAAACTTGTGGAGCTTCCTTTTTTAATTCTTACCCTTTAGACAACATAAATTCCAAATGGAATCCAATGCCGACGGACGACGTAGAGAAGAGATGGAGAATTTTTATTTGCTAGTTAAACTAATTCTTAATTATTTATTTTAATATTTGAAATTATATAATTTTAAGAAAGACATTTTTGTATTTTGTAATAAGAGTGTGAGGACATTTTGGATCTTAGCAATAATTCTTGATTCATTTGTAATTATTTTGTTTAATTCAATCAATGTGAAAAAATAACTTTTAAAATTGATCAATTTGTTATTTAGAGCTCTAATCCTACTTATATGTAGTTTTTGTGTTGACAAATTTCGGTGTCAAAACGTGTTGACGTAGTTATAATTTTTGGTTTATCTTGTGTCTTGATATTTGGAGCTGAGCAAGTGCCTCGTGCTGTGAGTTTGGATGGATCATCACTTAGAAGAGTATGTGAGTGAAGACACTCTATATTTGGGTTGGTACGTGATTATAGTTGAGTTTTTGGAATAAATGTTGCAATTTGGACAAGTCTGACCGGTTGCACTTTCTTAGATCGATCGCAAACTGAGAGTCCAACTGGTCCAACTAAGTCCGACCGGTCGCACTTCCCCGTATAGTTTCAAGATTCTAGTTTTTGGTAACTTTTAAGTTTCTTTTTTACACCAAACTCCTTGAGATGTCCTAGTATGATTTTAAAAACTTTTTTCAAATATTTTTAGGACTTTCTTGGATTTAAATCTCTCTCTAAACTCCATCCCTAAAAATGTTTTGGATGCTTTAATTGGGAAAAACATGGAATGGACTTTTACATCATTATTGAGCCTTTTTGAGTGTGATTGTAAAATATATTTTTATCTTTTTGAGAGCACACACTTATCTGATCATCGAAATCTTCAGGGTTTACTTCAAATTACAAATTGATCAGAATAACAAATTTCCTTTCTAATTCTCCATATCATTGAAAGGAGGTTTTGATTGTGCTACGAAGGAGACACAACATTCAAGGAGTATTCATGTCTTAACCAACTACCTGCCTACAAGGATTGAGAAATAAGCCTGAAGTCGAGAGCTTTTGGACGATGAATTGCAAAGCCAAAAAGCGCTCTACAACTGGTTCTTGATAGAGTGAAGAGGGTGTGAGCCTAAGTCATTCGAGATAGTGGATCATTTCGCTCAAGACTATGAAAGTCTCCGTAATTTTTCTCCCACATGGTTGGTTTTCTTCCAATAAAGTTTTATGATAAAAATTTTGGTGTCGTCTCTCAAACTCTACTATATTTGCTTTCCTTTATAGTTCATGTTTGTATGGAAGGTTATTTTGTTCAGTTTGATCTCATGGACAAGTGAAGAAGCATGATACGCCATCAACTCTTATGAAAAGTCTGTTTAGGGGTAGTTCTTGAAATTGGATTGACTGTACATAGCTTTGTAATCAATAAACTCTGGTCCAAATCAAATGGAAAAAAAGTTCACAAGGCATAAAAAAAAGATACATGGATAATGGCATTGGTAAATGACCTCTTATCTCATGCTTTGCACCCCAGAAAAACAAAATTCCATGCTGAATGGGACAGAGCTCGTCAGCATTGCCAACAAAACTTAAAAGAAATCCCCCTTTCTTGAAGGAAATCATCAGAACAAAACAATCGAGGATTGACGCCCACCAAGTATGGCATTTCACCAACCGAAAGTTAACCTTCAATTTCCAACAAATTAGAACGTATGTTGCTGATATCGAACCCCTGTAAGCAGCCTAGCGAATCGTCCTGTGAAAAGTCAAGATGCTGGGAGATTTCTGGATGCAGGTAGAAAGGCACAGCAGGCTGATCGTCGTGTGATGTTGTCAACTGGGACACAGAAGTTAGTGGCTGCTGTGGAAGAGAAAAAAAGGTCGATGGGGAGGGTGATTGGCTGTAAGACACAGACATTCCTGGGTTCAATGATTCTGAGGGGTTTGCTCCAGTGGAAATCTTGAGCCTCTCAACCTCTTGCATCAGTGCTTCATTCATAGCTGTGTGTGGAATAAATGTAGTTAGTATTTTAAATGAAATGCATCTTAAGATTAACAAAAGAAATATCAACAAACAAATTAACAAAAAAGACATAATATAAACTTTGATTGTTATGGTGCTTCTTTCATAAAGCTTGGCAACAAAACAGATTGCTGAATGAACTTTTCTACACAAGTATATGGCTAAAATTGCGATGCTTATGATCTCTCTCTCTTTAGCCATGCGATGCTTATGATATCTTTCTCTCCCCACTCTCTCTCCAAACATATTGAATACAATTAAGTCATAAATAGAGAGAAGTATGAGGGTTAACGGCATTATTCATCGCAGAATTTATTATCAGTCTCATGTTTTTAGGTCACTAAATAGAACAAAATGGAAAAATTTGATATACATCTTCACAAGACCAGCAGATAAATCTCATCATTTGATGACAAAAAATCAATGTGGAGTTCAATCTTTCATATACATAACGGCCGTCAAGGTTTCACCTCAGTCATCATACAAGGAATAATAGGATAAAAGTATCATTCAACAAAAAACACATCAGCAGAGAACCTTTTTCTAGAACAGATTAGAACATTACTAGTAAATACCAGAGGAAATGCCCTTCACCTTCCATCATAGATACTCAATATAATGCATTAACAAAATCATTTTTTTCCTTTATCAGAATTCTTAATAATAGTATTGGAGCATGAAACTCACCATCACGCATCTTAACTTGTTGCTCCATAGCTTGTAACCGAAGTTTAAGTTTTGTGTTTTCAGAAGCCAGAGTCATTGTCTCTCTCTAAATGAGAAAAGAAAGAAGGAATGAGACCATAATCCTTACTGTAGTGCTAAAACATGTGTTGTGTTAGTGTTTGTGTGTGTATTTGTCTTGGATGAGTGCTTGGGTTTAAATCAATAATTAAAATAAAATGAAGGCTTAGAAATTCAAAATAAACTTCAAAATTTTCATATCATAATCTCTCAAAGGAAATATTTAACATGGAAGAAATAGTGCGATGGAAAAATATTGACTATCAACACTTCTTAGTTTACCACGAAAAGCAACTCTAGACGCATCAAAACAGAAGAACTTTCTCTAGGGAGGAGGATAGCATTAGGATGGCAGTTGCAGCAAAAATTTCAATATCGCCCCATGATGGATAAGCAAGTGCAAAAAATTTCACAAATTCCGGTCAGATGTCTACAATAACTAAGATTCGCATTGCCTAGTCAAAAAGTTCGACCATAAATTCCCTTTCTATTCTCTTTTTGAGTAATGCTACCATGAGGTAACCCTCATGACAGTTGTCATGAGCTCTCCTTCTTTTTGTCTTGATCATGTAAAAATATTGAGTGCATTGTGCATCTAACCGTTTGGAAGAGGATTGTAGGAGGATTATACAATCAAAATTTTGTATCAAAATTAGTTTACAGTAAACCACACAAATCAGTCATACTTTTACATTTTCTTTCTTTTGACTTCATTAGACTAAATTAAACTATCATTTTTGACTGTCTCATATAATTTTATTTTTATGGAATTTTCAGTTTTTTTATTTTATTTGTTACAATGAGATCACTTTAATCTTGGCTATATTACAATGTAATTTGGGAATTATATTTTTTGCCCACAGTGGTGCTAACTTAAAGAAGAGCTCATCACAACTGTCATGTGGTCGACCTCATGTAGTATCGAACTATCACTATACATAAATACTTAAGAAGTAACGGCTATCCATATGCAGGCTTCCTAGTTCTCCCATTATACAGGGGTTGAAAAGGAGAACTGAGTTTTAAAATGTAAGTTGAGATCCACCAAGGCATACCTTGAATAGTGTGAGTTGTGAACAATGAGTGGCCGCTTCTTCTTGAACCATCTGAACTTTTCGTTCAAGTTCTGATATATAGCGAGCCTTCCTCTCTTTTGAGCGGGCAGCAGATTGCCGATTTGCTAAAATCCTAAATTTGACAGCTAAAATATTAGCAGAACCTCAAAAAATGCAAGAAATCCAAATAGTCAAAAAATAGATATGACAAATATATACATTTGTGCAAGTGTGGAGGCATCTGTATATTGCACTGAGAGAGAGAGAGAGAGAGAGAGAGAGAGAGAACTGTAGCAAGACATCTTACTTAAGATCATATATGCTTGCATTTATGAAAATATGATGCCGAGCAAGTTAAAGTTAGAATTCTACAAGATGGCTATAAGATTAAATATGCTATAATGAATAGAATATTTTTTTGATAAGTTATATGGAATAGAATATTATCAGTTGAAAACATGTCATGGAAAAATTGTAGCTATAAAAGGATGATGGCAATCCATAATCCTTTTTCAGTTTATAAATTCAATAAGTTCTGTCTTCAAGCAAGGATGGGGAATGAAGAAATTGCCAAAATCTATCAGAACCTCGAATCCAAGCAAGTGATTCTACCCACCACCTATGTAATTTACCAATATATAGTTTCTTGCTCATTTAATCCCTGTACTCTTTATCACCTCCAACTTTTAAAGATGCTATCATCATAACATGAGGTTTGAGAAGAGTTGTATGCTATGGAACCAAATATTGTCATTCGGTTAATGCTTTAGCATTCTATGTTGAATGTTTTAAACCCACATAGAGATATGCAACTAGATCATTCAGATATATAGGGAAAAAAAATAGAAAATTGATAGATGTACCAATTGCATTCAATTTTATTATTTTAGAGAAGAAGCCATTTCCAAGTGCTGGTATTGGCTAGGCAGTGTGCTGGGAGGGGAAGGCTAGGGATAGATCCAACCTTTGCCATTTATTTCTTTTGCAAAAAGTAATTATTCTCAGTCACAAGCTTGAATTCTCTGCACTAAAAAAATTATTCCGTCCCATTTTACTATTAATCAAAATTAGTCATAACATAACTTATCAAAAAATAAAAAAATAAATAGTCATAACATTACCATGTCCTAAGAATACAATTCTCGCCGACAAAATGGTTGAATTGATGACCCTTAACCAAGTCACTTTTAAATTTAAACAAGCAATTCAATTTCAAAGCACAGGAAGGAACTAAAATTACCAAAGAAAGGTCAAAAATAGTTCAGTCAGTGAAATATACATGTCCTCAATGTCTAGTATAAAGAGCATCTAAAATTTAAGGAATATATATATATACATATCAATGCTGGCCAATCATGTACATAGACCAATGATCAATTTCATGAAATAACCAGGAAGTCCAATTAAGAAAAAACACTTGATCAAATAAAAGGATAACCTTTGAACTACAGGGCAAATGAATTACTTGTAAAATAATATAAATGATACTGTAAAAGTTAAAAATTATTAAATGTAAACCAAATAATAGGACCTCCATAACCCAATTAGGAAACTTAAAAAAGAAAAAGTAAATGACCAATATATATATATATAGCAATCTAACATTTTTAGAGTTAATACTTCTGTTAACTTCAAAACCAAATGAAAACTTGAAACTTTAAGAAAAGAAAAGGAATCCATCAATCAAAACACAAAACCCACCTCTTTGCGCGCTTGGGATCGAGGGCCCAGAGCTGAGCCAACTGTTGAGGAGGAATGGCCTTCTTGGACTCCTTCATTTCACCAAACAAGCTCTGTGCTGTTCTAGACGACCCATCCACCGAATTGCTATTCCGGTGCCGAGTCACAACTCGCTTCTCTTCCACACAACCCAAATTTCCTCTACCGCCAACGGAGCCGCCGGAGACCCCTTCGACGCTCTGCGTGGACCAATCGCCAAATGGGTCGCCGGAGAAACCACCCATGTCGTCGTCGAGGATCCGGTAAAAGTCGTCGGAGGAAAAGGCCCGCCGGTAGTGGTTCGCATTGTTGTGCATTGTGAATGGGGCTTCAGTTTCAGCTGCTGCTGGTGATGGGTAATTGGAATCGTGTTGAGAGGAGATTGAATTTGAATTTGAATTTGAATCGGGATTGTTGAGATTGGAAATTGATGATGGGTTTTGCATTTGGATTGACATTGTCTAACCCACATCAAAATGGGTGTTGTTGTGTCTGCAGAAACGAACGAGGAAACGGAAGGTCGGAATCTCGAATTCCTGACCTCCACTGTGCCTTCCCGTTTCCACAGCGGAAATGTAGAAGAAATGTAGAAGGAAAAGATGGAAAATGAATGTGTGTTTTTTGTAGGAGAGAAAGCTTTTCATGCCTCATTGCCGGGAAGAGAGATGGAACGGATGGTAGGAATTGCAAAGTCTTGCCTTCCGCTCCTTTCAGTTTCCACTCCCAAAATAATACTGATAGTAATAACAATAATAGAAATAAAACCATATATATATATATTTATCTTTATTTTTTTTTACTCCACACGTTTCTTATTACAGTATTTTCCGTCTGAACTAAATATTCCCCATCTCACCCAATCTCTTATTTATGTTATATTTTTTCTCACATCTCTGGGTTTTTTTTTGTTTGACTCTTCCTTCTAAACTACTACTAATATATTAGAATTGAGTTTAGCTCATTCTTATATGGATAATTTTAAATAAAAATTATTAATATATTGTATGACGGACAACCAAACTCCACCGACCATGCTTTAAAAGCGCCAACTCTAGTCACCATGGGCCCTTCCCCTTCAGGCCCAAGATGAACTAGTTCATTCCGAAAAAGGACTGATAAAGGGAGCCCAAGGAATAAGACAAGTAAGAGGACCGACCTAGCAAGTTCCTGATCTATTGACTTTCGTTTCGCACAAACGGCACCAAAGTGTAGGTACAAGAATTACATATGATGGCATAGTTGTGATCCGGGAGGATGATCGAGTAGGAAAACTCCCGACAACAAGAAGAGGACATCCAAAACCAGCAAGAAGAGCTCTGACAGCTAGTCGAAACCCTATGCTAGGAGAACGCAGACCTCCGAGCAAGGCTAGAGCGAGCGGAGATGCCACTGCCACCACTTCCACCTCCACCAGCAGAGATCGTGTCTGCCAACGGCCATATTGAGTGACTGCTAGACCAACCGGATCTGTCCACCTTGATTCACGAAAGGATGAAGCAAACCCTAAGCGAAGGAGGGCAGGAAATGAACAGGTGGAGACTAGCCACCATACCATGCGAAACTCAGTGGTGGATAAGGTGTTCGACAAAAAATCCCAGATCAAATTTGAAAACCCAAGTTCAAAAAGAGGTAGGAGATCAGATGAGAGACCCTAGAGCTCTCACTCCAATCTATTTAGCATTTTAGGTGTCCCCTCATATGGTGGAATCCATATTCACAGAAGAAATCATTTGAGCAGAAAAATCAAGAAAGTTCACAATGTCGACGTTCACACCGTTCGATGAAACGAAAGATCCTCTATAGCACGTATACCTCATCCAACAGAAGATGGCTTTCGACACCAGCGATGATGCCCTAATGTGTAAGGTACTCCATACAAGCCTTGCGGGGCCGACACTTAGCTAGTTCAGGCACTTACCCCCAAGATAGATGTTAAGCTTTCGCCAACTTTGCCAGCTGTTCATAGCCCAATACTTTGGCAACAAAAGGATAAAGAAGACTATCTCAACACAATGAGGCAATAGAAGGGTGAACGACTGGAATATTTTCTCACCAGGTTCAACCTGGAGACGTGAGGCACAAAGTTTCACACTTCCTTGGTCAAGAAGACTCCTTGCAATACGGGTGGTTTGAATTCTAAAGTCTAGGGGTATCTGCTGTTGGAGGAAGAAAAGGTTGTTCGGTAGCAGAGAACAAAATGATAACTCTACGTAGACGGATCAACCAACCAGACGGGATCAAGAGTTGGGATTGTAAGAAAAACTCCTAAAGGAACCCGATTGCATTAAGTGACCAAGTTAGAGTTTGTTGCGACTAATAAGAAAATGGAATACGAAGCACTTTTAGTTGGACAAAGGTTAGCCAATGTGGTGACCTTGTGGGCGGGTGTGTGTGAACTTGTGCAGGTGGCACCAGTAGGCTACCACACTGGGTGAGTTACAAGTGCACAATCCCATATCGCCTGGGTGTGGATGGGGCAAGTGTTATATGTAGATTCAACACCTTTTTAAGACACAGCGCGTTTTAAAGCCGTGGTGGTCGTGAATCCACCAGAACTCCAGAGTTAAGCGCGTTTAACCTGGAGTAATACCAGGAAGGGTAACTCTCTGGGAAGTGTAATACCCCTAATTTTAAAAGGATAGCCTCGGTATTTATTTATTTGTTTTAATTATATTTTTAATCATTTAATTATAATTATATTTTTAATTATTTAATTGATTATTTGACTAATTGCTTATGTGTTTAATAGAATTAGGTATTACTTGATTATTTGATTATGTGTCTATGTATTATTTGTATTTGTCTATGTGTTAATTGTTTAATTAGATTATGTGCTTAAATGGTGTTTTGATTAATTGTAAATTAAATGTTTTCTTTTCTTTTATTATTTTATTTTATTTTTCTTTTATGGTTATGATTAGTAGTCATAGGCCAACCAATTGGGTCCCATGGATTACTTAGATAGGAGGTTGGATGTGTATGGATTATTACCCATAGATAGTTGTGCATGTATATATATATAGATATATATTATATACAAATAGATATATATTATATACATATATAAAAAGGAAAATAATTTATTAATTACTTTTATGGTAACTTGGGTAGTAATATTTAATATGATGTATATGTTTTATATTTAAATAATAAAAATATACATAGATTTGATACGTGTTATGTTTTAAGTTACTTTATAATATTATGGTAACTTAAGTATTATTGGATAATCCATTAATAAATAATGGAATGTGTATAATTTATTTATTTAATAAAGATATACATAAATTATATACTTAATATATTTTACTTACCTTTTTAATATATATAAAAGGGAAAGTAATTTATTAATTACTTTTATGGTAACTTGGGTAGTAATATTCAATCTGATGTATATGTTTTATATTTAAATAATAAAAACATACATAGATTTGATACGTGTTATGTTTTAAGTTACTTTATAATATTATGCTAACTTAAGTATTATTGGATAATCCATTAATAAATAATGGGATTTGTATAATTTATTTATTTAATAAAAATATACATAAATTATATACGTAACATATTTTACTTACCTTTTTAATATTTTAATATTTATTTTTTTAAATTGACTTGGATTGGGAAAATGGTTAGGGTTATTTTATTTAGCCTATAAATATATAGCTATAGGTTATAAAAGTGGGTTAGAAATATTCACGTGATATATTCTAGAGAGAAAGAGAGTTAGAGAGGGAAGGAGGAAAAGTAAGGAAGGAGGAGAAAAATCCTGTAAAGAGAAGACCAAGGAAGAAAGTTTAACTTTCGATCCGAAAGTTTAAGGCAAGTTCTTCTTCTATCTCTTTCCCTTTGATTCGTGTTTTTGTACATGCCTAAGAAATTTCAGGATTTATTAAGCTACAATGGTCCACGACTTAAAAATACCACCGATACAAAATCCGACCCCCCAACGGGCAAAAAGGCAAAAATGAAACTTGGAATGAAAACTCGGAATCCAAAAATACAAAACGGGGTCAAATGACCGTTTGGCCCTTGGCCACACTTCAAACATGATTTATAAGACCCTATGAAAGAATGAAAATGGAATTCTCACACCCGATGCAATCATGGTGAGACAATGACTTGGCGTTTTTCAATATTTTCCTAATATTTCAAGAAGTTAGAAGTTACAAAAAATTCACTATACATGTCAATGGCCTCCGGCCTCATCTCATACATGTTGAATACATTGAAAGGAGTGCACTTAAGTACACATTACATACATGGAATCAAAGAATACAAGTTTTACATATAAGTCTACAAAATGACATTTCATGCTAACATTTGCATGAAATGGAAACTTAAAGCTACACGACATCCAAGGAATGCTAAGCATTACGAACCAAGTCTTCTTACCTGAAATATGCCCCAGTAACGTAGGGGTGAGCAACATAAAGCTACTCGTAGGAGATGAGCATGCATCGACCTAGCATTTTACAATTTTATCACCTTAAGGTGAAACATGTCAAAGGGGCTCATGCCACCTAACGTCTATGTCAAAGTGAGACTCAGGGCGCATCCTAAGCTATCATGGAGCATAAGCAACAAGAATCATGATATATATACATATATGAAATAAGTCAAGATTTTGGATAATCCAAGGAACACGATATGATGGATGCTTGAAAATTTATCAACATGAATTGTACTTTCAATACAATTAAGCAAGGTTTGGGATGATCCATACTACACGGCAAGAAGCATACTCGGAAGCAAGAACAAGGCATAATATCTATGCTAGTAAACAAGGATGGAATACGCGACATGAAGTATACTTGAAATCACGAATAAGGCATAATATCTATGTTAATGACAAGATTAACGCATTCTAATTTACATGATAGGAGTCATACAAGAAATCAAGAACAGGGCATATTATATATGCAAGTAAACAAGATTGGAACATTCCGGTTAACACGACATGAATTATACTTGAAATTAAACAAGATTGGAGCATTTCACATAACACGACAAGTTTAAATCTTCAAGGAATAACAACTTGAAATTTAAAGGGTGAAATCAACCAATGTGGAAATTCGGATATCGCCTGGATTAAAACCGTACTCTTAAGATCACTTTAGGGCTACTAACCCATGGGTACCTTTCCCCTAGTGCGTACTATAGTTGTAGGAGGACATTCCCCCGTACTAGAACCAAGTCCTAGCCATGACAATTCTTGATTGATATCCCAAGTCCCAAAATCAACAAGTTGTGCAAGTCAAGATTGTATCAAATATAAGAAATGCATTAACCACGTTTCATGCACAACCAAAATTTTGTAACATATAAGTCATGCCCTAAGTACCAACTATGATGGTATGCGAAATGTCAAGAAATCATAGTATGCATCTATATACATTATAACCAAGGTACATAGCATAAGGATTCCATTGAAGTAGATATACCATAAGTATAAGATACATGATTCAAGTACTCACTAAGCAACACATGTGTAAGTAAACCATTCCAAGACAAATGAGCAAGTTCATTAAATACATTAATGAAACCAAGATACAAGGGATCACGATGCTTGATAAAAGGTACAAGTTCTTGAAATGCAAGTCAAATTCACAAGCTTAATAAGAATTCAATAACAAGGTATGATTAACTCGATGGAAGCATACAAGGGAATTTAATCTACTTAAGGAATTAAATTATCAAGGTTTTAAGGTTACAAGGCAAGTCAAGGATCATGTCATGGA